AGCCCACTGAAGCAGTGCAGAGGCAGCATGATCTTTTCTACTTTTTTTTCTTTTCTCCTTTCTCTGCTTTCCAGTGTACCAAGCAGAAGTTCCAACACACTAGAATGGCACTTCTGTTTCAGCCACCTCCTTTCTCCCCACACATCCCTGCCAAATCCCTTGGAGAGCAGCTGCAGCCTTCCTTCTCCCCTGCATACCTCTTAGCCTCAACCGAAGTTCTTTACTGACAGCAATCCTTGCCCCCTGCTCTGCGCTGTTCACATTTCCCATTGCTTACTTTTAAAAGTAAGCTTCTTGCCAGCTTCTCCATTGACCAGTATCTGCAAATAACCCAAGTGTCTTGCTGCAGGGATTAAAAACCAGCCAGAAGATTGGCATTTTGCAAGTAAATTAAAATCAGGGGGAGAAAAGGACAATTACTAGTTTACTCTATGGAGCTCACCAGCTCTCAGATGCAAGGGGAAAAATATTTACAGGGATGAAGGAGAAGATGAACATTTTTAATAACAATACATTTTTTTTTTTTTACAGAATGGTTTGGGTTGGAAAGGACCTTGTAAGATCATCTAGTTCCACCCCCCCTGCCATGGGCAGGGACACCCTCCACTAGACCAGGTTGCTCAAAGCGTCATCCAGCCTGGCCTTGAACACCTCCAGAGATGGGGCATCCACAGCTTCTCTGGGCAACATGTTCCAGTGTCTCACCACCCTCACAGTGAAAAATGTCTTCCTAATGTCTAATCTAAATCTACCCTCTTTCAGCTTATACCCATTACCCCTTGTCCTCTCACTACACTCCCTGATAACGAGTGCCTCCCCATCTCTCCTGTAGGCCCCCTTCAGGTACTGGAAGGCTGCTATTAAGTCTCCTCGGAGCCTTCTCTTTTCCAGGCTGAACAACCCCAACTCTTTCAGCCTGTCCTCATAGGGGAGGTGCTCCAGCCCTCTGACCAATTTCGTGGTTCTCCTCTGGACTCTCTCCAACAGGTCCAGGTCTTTTTTATGTTGGGGGCCCCACATCTGAACACAGTACTCCATGTGCTGATGCAACCCTTCCTTGCCATACTGGTAAGGAAACTTCCAGGAACAATACTGAGTTTAACTGCAGAAGTCTGGGGGTCTGCTTCAGTATTAGGCAGATCAGTTCTGGTACAACTCCACTAAAAAAACAACCTAAAATATGTTAAAAAAAGCACAAGTGCTTTTAATCATGGGATACTAAGCAATCAGTTACCTTTGTACAACTATGGATACTTTTATTTATCTAGAATTCCATTTTTTGGTCTTTTTTTTTACTTGTGTCTGCTTTTTTTTTTTTTGCCATTTATTAATTCAGTCCTTCAACAAAAAGCCACAAGTTTTGCAATAAGTATACAATTTTGTTTCTGGTCTTTCTAACTCCTTCTGGTGAGCCAGTCTGTTTTCTTTATGGTTTTTTTTTTCATGAACTAAGGCTCAGGAAATTCTCATATGATGTGCATCTCAGGGGAAGGGTCATCTCTGTTTATCTACAGGATGGAAATTGTTTAGCCTTGTGGCTTCTGAAAGATGTCTGTAGACAAAATGCAGCTAAAATTACAGCCTAATCCACAGTGAAATATTAGTTCTCCTTTCCTGTCAGCTTTCCTAAACCAAGATTTCGCCTCGTCTGTGAACATTCCCTTGAAGAGGGCAGCTTGGATGGCTTCCATGTCTTAACTCTTTGATTTGATTTGTGGCAGCTAAAATCAAGTGGGAATAGAGCTTGTTACAGTAATCCATCAGTGGTATAACACATGCAGAACATCCCAAGGAGGGAGACCTTGGGCGTCATGAAGAAGGTTGAGGCTATAATTTCTCTTAATATGATTTTGTCTGGCCTTTTCAGAATTTTGTCCGCTTTGGGCAGGGCCACTAGATCAGCAAACCACAGATTGAGAGACTGTGCTCAATGTTGTATGCTCTTAGACCTAAAAATTTTTTCAAAGTGACAGCATTGGGTTAAGCTGTCTTCCACTTTCTAAAAGTGAAAAATAGAAGATTCATTTGAGTGTACACCATACATGGTGGTGCGGATTTTGGAAAAGAAGGGCTCTTCTCTTCAATGGCAATTTTCATTTTAGTGATTAACTTGGTCCTAATCTACAAAAAGTGAAATAACTTCTTAACAAAGAGAAGAAGCAGAAAATGAGAAATCAATATACCTAAATGTTAAGAGATGAAGAATCGCCCAAAGAAAAAAACCATAACAAAAATTAAAACCTTCCAAGCATGAGAAAGCAACCTCAGTGAAGGCAATAAAACAGAGCCTAAACATAGGCTGTACAAGACGAAAATTAGGAGAACAGAGATGGAATCCAAAGAGCAAAGATCTAAGGATATAAAACAAAAGCCACAAATTCTTTTATGGTATAAAAAAAATAAAAGTATTTAGGCAGTCCTGGATCACTGGGGATGAAAGAAACTGAGGAAGACAAAAGTTAGGGAAGGGAAGCAAACTGACTTCTTTTCATCCAGCTTCACCACAGCGGATGTTCGGGAGAAACCTATTGTGGTACCTGCTTTTATTTTTTTGTATTTTATTTTTTAATAGGTGTGAACTAATAGCAAGGCTTGAATACTTGCTAGCAGAAACAAATTTGTTGGAGGAAGATGACAGCTTATAAAGCAGTAAGCAAGCAGAAGATAAGAATTCTGACAGCAATTAAAATAAAGAAATTGAGCCATTGGCTAAAATGAGTACACCTTCACTATACTTAGTAACTTAAAGAATCAGAGGATAGTAAAAGTTTCACCTATCTTTACAAAAGCAGCAAGGTTGATTCAGGAGACTGTAGAGCTACAAGCTTTCTTACTATACCTAGTAACCTGTCTGAAAGGATGAATAACAGGAAATTAAATACATCAAAACAATCACTAGATTCTGAATATAAAATATATTATAAAATAGTGGACAGATAAGAGCAGGTAAAGAAAATTAGACCTTCAAATTCCTTACAAGACCCTCATGAAGTGTGATGTTAAGAGAGCAAAAGAAAAGGAATACATACAGATTCTCATTTGATGACTGAGTTAACAGCAGGGTTCTCATGGTTTGTACTTTGCATTTCAAAATTCTCTGGAAACAAGGAAGCACACTTAAAGGGTAAAATCTACAGATGGCAAGAATTTATTCAGATTAGTCCTAATTTAAGATTATTACGGGTTTGAGAGATAAGCAGTAAATCTGCTTCAGCAGATCATGGTCATTACTGTAGATCACAATAAAGTGCACACTGCAGACAGTATTGGACTCCTTTATGCATCAGGCTGAGCTCTAAAATGCCTGATCAGCTCAGGAGATTGCTTGGATGTCCTTGTGAACTGACCACAGACAACTGGTGTCAAAAAGATACAGTCAAGAAACACAAATTAAAACTTGGGACATCTAACAAAAGATAGCACAAGCAGAACACAGACAAACATAGTAAGCATATAACACTTATAAGGAGAGGCTGGAATACTGTTTGCCATCGTTTAACCCATTTTAAAAAGTAAGATGGAGAAAAAGTATGGAAATGGTATAAAAAAAAAACCGATGTAGAAGGATTAATTGAGACTTAGACAAGGATGTCAGCAATCTGCTTTAATTCAGTCTTGCACTGAAAAGGATGATGGACCAGATGACCTTCAGAGGTCCTTTCCAACCTAAGTTATTCTATGAAATAGACAAAAAAAGTTTTGACTACTCAATATATTCAGATGGTAAATCCTGAAATAGACAAATTCAACAGCGACAAAATTAGATTATTAATTCATTGTCACAAGAACTGTGCTAGGAGACAAAATAGGATTTGATTTTTGCAGTTTTAAAAATAATTGTATTATACAGGGCTTCCCCCTCCCCGCCAAAAACATCCAAACAAGGTGGCTTTTGGAAAAGAAACCATTCCTCCATTTGTTGCATATAATGAGTATTATGACTCACGAAATAAAATTTTTCTAGGAGAGATCCTCCTCCTTGTGTTCTCTCAAGAAGTTGATATTGGCCACTGTCTGAATCAAGACATTGGACTAGATGGATATTAGTATTATCTGCTGCAATTATTTCCATTTTCACATGAGACATGATTCCAAACCAGAATTTTCATGTTTGTTATCTGCTGATGATATTCTGTCATGCTTACTCCATTAATGAAGTAATGTACTGTTTTTAAGGGTCATCCATGAAATCTCACACTCTGAGAGCTCCAAGAGTGAGGTTATGGTGTCTCTGTCATGCCTGCTAGCAGAAAGAATAAATAAGCTGCATATTGAATTGAGCCATTGACCAGACTTATGCATTAGACAAGGGATTGCCACTTTTCAAAAAGAGGTGCTGCCACAAGTTTATTTTATTTCTAGTTATCTTCTCTAACTCCTAATCATCAGAATTACTGTCAGGAGGAGGACAGAAAAGGAGTTAAAATATTTCAAGGACACTTTCATTCTGGAAACAATTTTATTACCAAAAATTTCATTCCTTCCATTGTCCTTAAAATACAATCAGAGAAGCATCTGCCTTAAAAAAGAGATCCCCTCAAACCACAGAATAAATGTATTTGAAGATACTGGATAAATAAAGCTTTAACCTGAAAATAATTCCTAATAGTAATATACATCAATATGTACAATATAATTATATGTATAATAATTATATACATGCATCTATATAACTATACACATGTATAATACTTATATACACATAATTTAATTAGATGTATGATAATCATATACATTATAATGTATATAGCAATAAAATGGCTGTCATAACATGTCTGCCTTAGTGCATTTAGGAGGAAACCACCTGACAGAGAGAGATAAATCTCAGAAGAGAAAGTACTAGCATCTTTGAAATTCAGTGGGAATGACACAATGAATCCACATTCATAAAAAGTGTTCTGATGAGGGAGAAACAAAATGAAAGAAAAAAATAAAATTGTAAATATTTCACTTTAAAGAGGGTTTTAAAAAACATATATATATTTACCCACTAGACATACCTTGGCTGACCTAGTGATGGCCCCGATCTCTGAATAAAGATCAGTGCTGTCTGGGAACTTTTCCACCACCATAGTGCAGACGTGGTGCAGGAGGGACTGCTTATGCACTGTGTCCTTGACTTCTGGAACCTTCTCGAGGTAGCTTAACTCAAAAGCTTTGGCCTATAAGAGAGGAAAGAAGGGAAGAAATTAAAAGTAAAAATGTTTACTGCTTCCCATGCAGATTATTACACATTACCAAGTAGGGGCAGAGGGGAAAGAATAAGAATCCTACAGCAAAAGAAACTTAGTGCTTTTATTTATTTTTAACTTGCTGAACAGTAGGCCTAAAATCACTGCATCTGCAGTGAAATGAGTCATGACACAGGTCTCACAATTTGAATGGGAAGCATCAATACTAAACTCAAGGGAGTTACACCAGAAGAGTGCCTAGCTCCACATTTCCTTCGGGTTATGCTGAAAGAGGACCCTGACACACAATAAAAAGTAGGTTCTGTTTTCTAAATTTTTTTTTAGTACAAAATAAATACTAGGTTGCAACTGTCACAATGGTTTTGAATTTTATTTTTTTTGAAGGAAAAAGCTGGGAAAATGCTGGGACATCAGACTTACGTTGGTTCCATTCAGAAAGTTCCCAATGGCTAGTAGAGTAGAAAGGATAAATCCCAAAGTTTTATTGTGCTCCAGTTGGTCCATTCCTTCCTTCAGGTCTAAAAGTGGTTCTGCAACTTCCTGCCATGAGAACAGAAACAAGAAAGTGAAGGCTGCCGTTGGATATAGCTGCTTTAAATTTTTAATTCTATGGCTTAGATTAATTACTGTAAAAAGTTCCTGAACTGGCGTCTTGCAGAGTGCAAACTGGCCATGTGTGCTGGCTCTCTTCCATGTTCCAGCTAATAAATCACATGCAAGGACAGCAAAAAAATACATAGAATACTTTCCTAATGTTGCTTCTTTATGTATGCAATTGCCTTACTTGTCCTGGGGATTATTCTGTGATTCCAAACAGGAGAGAGAGAATCAGAGAAGGGGTTGCTGCATTTGAGTTAGATGCATGAACATCCCCCTGCCTCAGGGGATAAAAAAGTGTCTTACAACTATTTTTTTTAATCTTTGAAAAACAAACAAAAAAAGTTAGAACCCTGGCTGACTTGACATTCGTAGCCTGACCCTAAACCTTTCTTCAAATCATGGCCACCTCCGAGTTTTAGATATTGTTTTGTCCTTGTGTGACTTAAACATGAAAAAAAAATAAAAATAAACCAAAGCAAAACACTGCAAACACCAAGATTTATAAGTGTTCTCATTTTAATCCTAATGCATCTTCCAACCACACATTTAATCTGAGTGTAGGTATGTAAACTAATAAGTCCTGAAAACATAAATGCTCTTCCATTACCTTGGGAAGTGAACTACACCACAGAGTCCAAAGGAAGAGAGCGAGGGTAACTGAGTTGACAGAGTTTATTTCTATGTCTTTGTGTGAGGCCGAGGGCTATTTATTTTGTATTCACAATAACAGTTCACATTGTTTCTATCTCCAAATGCCATCCTAAGCATCCATGAGCATCATTGTTTTCCCAAATTATTACACTCTTTATGAGCCAAGACTCCAAAATTAAGCTGTTATTTTAGACCATGAGGCAAAACAGATGAGAAATTCACTTTCTTGGACAAATACAATGGGTCGCTCAACAATGTAGTGATATTTTGTCATAAATAAGAGCACAAAGATGAAGGAAACATACATTTCTAGTCACTACAGAACAATTTATCTCTTGAAAACAAAAGAATATGGCAAATTTGAGACAAATTAAGGGATAGCATAGTGACCAAAGTAATTTATGCATCAGAGGAGAGGTGCTAAATAACCCAAGACTTTATCAAGTTAAGCTAAAATCAATTAACTGCTGCACAGAATTCTTTGAATTGCTTTACAAGTCAGGGTTGATTTGTTTTGTTGCATTATGAGGATGAATCAAACTGCCCTGCATCTGCTGTAAACACTGGCTTTTGAACTATTTCACTTGCATCAATTTGCAACCTGTTAAAAAACCATTCCTAAAAGGTTAACTTAAAACATTCTAAAGGTGAATGAAAAGGTAGCATAAAAGGCTTCCAAGCAGGCCACATTGTAGCCCTTCATTTAGCTATTTACATGGAAGTTGTCCAAGCTTAGACTTTTTTGCATATTGTTCACATTTATAACTATTTTTTTTTATTATATTGTAGCTTTAAAAACAATAGAAACCAATGTACTAGATGCTGTATTAACAGACGAAATACCCATCCTTGTTCCCTATAAAACTCGTCATCTACCTAGAGAGGGCAGATACATAATGCAGAGCTACGACATATCCTTAGCTACCACGTATTCTTATTTACCATGTTTCTATTTTTCACCTAGAAATTATGCTTGAATGAAACTTGAGCTTGAGCAAACTTCATTTGTCCTGAATTTCTGGCTGCAAGATGTCTGATAATGCCAGATAAATGTTTCACATGCATACGCAAATAAACTCAACTACATATGTGCAACGAATCCAGTGGTCCTGGGACATGGATGATGCAGCACACGTGCCGTGTACAGCTGATCTGGCATATGCATTGTTGCCAACCTGCTATATTGGTAAGAATTTTAGCTTACTGCACCTATACAAGTTCCAGTGCATGCTTTTCTGGGAGGGGTAAAAACTTGGTTGGGATGGGAACTTTGAGATGACCAAAATGTAATTTGCTATATGTGCATTCACATCAAGACTGGCCTGCATAAAGTATCTTACCCTTTTAAAACAACAGAAAGCATTAAGATCATACAGTAAAACTTAAAAAGCTCTGAGTACTTTTAAAAATTTCCGGACAGTTTAAGCATCACTCAAAGGTACAATCTTTTTGAACTCATTTCTCTAGCAGAGTCTCCAGAAGATTAGAGTCAGGAGTAATCTTTCTGCTCAGAAAAGAAACTGAAAGAAACCCTTTTCTTTACCAGTTCTACTTTTCTCATTTCTACACCTGCTTATATTAATTAATGATCCTTTAAAGTTGTCAACAATATGGATATATTTGCCCACAGCATTGCTAAGAAAAAAACAAAAAAACTGATTTAGAAAAACTAAAGATTCTACTCCTCTTTTTAAGACCTTTAAACTCCCTTAGAGACAGTTAAATTTGACAGTATCTGTATCATAAATAGTTCAGTACAAAGAACTAGCAGTAACACAGTCTAATTTTTCAGAGCAATCAAAAGTCTGAAAATTAAGATTTAAAGTTGAAATTCTATGCCTTTTGTCTATGCCTTTAAGATATGATACCAAAAGAAAGGTGAGAAAAATTATTGTTCCATTGGCGACCTCCAGTAGGCATACAGTACCTTAGACTCATGTTAACATGTCAAAACAGCATACACATTATCAAACAGATCATTTGGAAAGGGTTTTCCTGTTTTATTTTCACATGCACGTATTTGATTTTCTAACACAATGCACTGATGCATGCTTTACAGCTTACAGTGAAAGCTGCAATTGTACCACAACTGCCTGTAAAGAGCAAAGAATAAGTATTTATCCAGTTCAGCCCCTCACAGTCTGAGGCTGCTCCCTACAAATGTACCCTGACTTGCTTTAGTTAATTAAAATCAATCCAAGAAATATGACTTCCTTCATTATGCCTAGAAAGCTTTTCCTAAAAACATGAACAATATCTACCTTAACCCTTTTCTTGAGCAATTTCATGCTGTTTTCTTTCAGGTTGTCAGAGACAGTGCTAAGACCTACTTAGGTAAAACTCTGCTCTGGGACAATTAGAAAACGATTCTCACGAATGAGAACCCCAACCTTACATCAACAACTCAGGTATTTCACACTGTTGATGTCATGGACCATCTGAAAATTACAGCCTCATAGAAATAATAGTAAAGTTAATTAGATTCTTACATAAAATATATGTGTGACTTGATAAATAATATGAGTGCCTTTGCAACTGTCATGAATTTTCCTAATTTTAAAATAGATTTTTAAAAAATCAAGCGAATGCTGGACAAAAAAAAAAAAAGACAAAAACTGTGGAGGTGATTTGGCACCTAAGTTTCAGGAAGGGTTTGCCCATTTGCAGATGGATCTTCTGCAAAAACATAGTTTCAAAAACAGAAGGTATTTAGCAGGTTAGAGGATTCTTTTATTATAATAATAATAATTAATGCAAACTACTTATTTTTAATTAATTTAATTTAATGAATTTAATTTTATTTAAAATTAATAATTAATTTTAAGCTCACGGTATCTTATCTCAGTCTAAACAAGGCTTATGTTTATTGGTTACATGGAACTCAAACTCTGACTTTAACCTTTTGTTACTGGAGAGACCCAGCTGCTCACTCTCTCTTGGTACCTCTGATGTCTGTTCTTTTATCTTCCTCTTGACCCAGCTAAAGCCCAAGCTGTCTCTCATATCTATGCTTGTCTGCTAGGTTTCTTATCACATGCTCCTCTCATTTTATCAGAGTTACCACATGTTATTTCCTGTACCATTTCATGGTAAGTACCAGACTCAGGCCTATCTACCTTTCAACAGGGATAAAAATCTTGGTCCTATCCTCACTCCAGCTACTGCTTCTTTGAGTAACTTCAGTATTTGAGACTTTTTATACTAGCATCCTTTCTACATGGATTTTAGCTGGCAATTCATTAACTTTGTGGCATAAACATTATAGGATCACCAAAAGGAAAATTATCTTCTTTAGCTTTCAGTGCTTCAAATGTTAACTTTTGATTGAGAGGAAGTTTGAAATTCTAGGTGTAGACATAGATTAACAGCTACAGCTAACTCAGGTCACATGAAAGGAACAAGTTAGCCTGTGGTAACTTCAGAGCAGAATGAATAGCTGTACCAGAGTACAAAAAACAAACAAACAAACAAACAAACAAACCAGGCAAAAAAGTATTCAAACCAGATACAAGTATTTTACGTTTTAAAAGTCAGAAACGTAAATCTCTCAGACTAAAATGTCACAATTAAAAATTCCTGAATATTAGTGTGATTGTATTTCCTAAAATTTAAGAAAATTAAGCAGAGGTTAAGTAATCTTGACAGCATCATCTGCAAATCAATCCACTGCTGTATAGCTTGTTAAATAACTGTGGCTAGGTAAGCATAAGGCATTTTCAAAAGCATGCCCCACATCTTAGAATCCGTATCACACAAAGTTATACCGATTTTTTAATATTCACATATGTGCACAGATACACACAAAATTAATATATAGAGGAGAGAGCTGCCTGAAGAGCAATACATAGGGTATGCACCAGCAGTGTAGCCAGAAGGTTCCTGGGCTGAGGTTCCTGAAAGAGCTTGTGAAAGTCAGCAAGTAGCTGAAATTGCCTACACAGTTTAATTCTGCTTCACCTATGCACCAAAATTATATGCTGCCATTTTGAAATTTGTGTCTGTGATTCATCACAGACAATCCAATTATAGTGTTCTCTGAATAAATGCCATCCATGAAGAAGGTGGCAACAACTGTCTATGAACTGAAAAGAGCTCAACCCTTGAAGGATGTCTTATCTTTTGTTTATAACTTTGAAAGAGAGTTTTAAACAGAAATAACTTTAATGGATGGTGTTTTCCTTAGTTCAAATGCATGTAAGATCAATACTCTCATTTTACAATGTAAGGCTGAATACTGCAGTCCTCATTCAATCTTTATCCAAAGAAAAATTCTTACTGCTCTGAAGTAAGAATTTCCTGAATAATAACATCTGGAGAAGATGTGGTAAGGATTCAGCCCTCTTCTTTGTTCTAACATCATTACTGCCTAATTAGAGGAAGGAAGACATAATCTCTAATTTTCTTTTATAGAAGAAACAGATTATGAAGGATCATTTTAGCTGTATCCTGGTTGGCCACTGAAACAAAAGCAACCCATTTACCATTTCCTCAAAATACACACTTATAACAATGTCAGAGAAAAATTAAGTGAAGCCTTGGAAGAGTTTCCACCCCTGCCTCCCTTCTTTCTCCTTACCTTTTCCACTATCTCGTAGTCCATCTTGAAAGCCCAGAGCTGGAGCCTGGCAGAGAGTTCGCTGATGGAGGAGAGGGTGAGAAGGAACTGTTCGGCGCTGCCCAGGGGGACATCGGGGTTTGCCAGCTGTGCCTCCTGGATCTTTTGCTTCTCCTCCTCGGTTGGGATCATGGTCAGGATTTTCTGTGAAGGGAGACAAAAGGCAGGCATCAGCGGCAGGGCCAAAAGGCACGTGAGGGCTGGATGCAGTAATACAGGGATGCTCCTGCAGTGCAGGCTCACGCAATGAGCTTCGCTTGCACTTTGCCCGAGCTCCTGTGACACTGGGTGACTTCTCAAGCAGCAACAAGAGAAGTCCTTAGTCAGTGACTGGCAAATTAGGACAGCACTGTAGTAACCAAGCACCAACCCACTCACTACACAAGAGAGCAAAAAAAGGCCTGCTATCTCGAACATCTGCAGTTGAAAAACACATCTGTATAAACATGCATTTCTTAAAATGTGTAGTCAGTGGATATAGTTAATCACAGGATAAAACACTGAAGACAGACAGTGAAACTGGTTAGGACTGCTCTCAGCTTTCATATCTCCAAATCAATACTGGCCGCCTTTCTGCAAATTATATATGGAAGTTGAGGGTAGAAGGAGTGAAGTTTTGTGGCCTGTGATTTACAGCAGGTCAGATTAGATAGCAGGTTCCTTTTAGCTTCAACATCTATGAATTTTGAAGTGTGCTTGTCAGTATACAGAAATACCTTCAGGACTCCTGTCCCTTGCTGTTCTCATAATTTTAAGGTTTTTTTTGCAGTTGAATTTGTTTATTATGAAACGTAATAACTATTGCAGCATACTAGGTCACTCCCAAAAATTTCACCCAAACTAAGGACAACTTCCCAAGGAACATGCATTGAATTTAAAGCTGAATTATGCATTGCATAACATAAATCTCTTTTGATCTGAAGTCTAAAATATTTATGAAAAAGGATCTCAATATTTTCAGTTTCTGCTGTCAGTATGGCTCAAAACATTTATTTTTTCCCTTTAACTCTTAGAATTTACATGTTATTTACATGTGGCAGCTTTCCTTCTCAAAGTTCTACTTTCTAAGGTATTGCTTCTTAATTAGTTTTTACCACAATAAATTAATTTTAGAATGAAAAAGAAAAGCAAAATAACACAACACAAAGGCATCAGATAATTTGATGTCTTTACCCTGCCAATTGACTAATTAATTAAAGCAATAGAGTTTCAACACAACTTACGTTTATTCATCTGAAGAATTACATGTTTTTTTCTGTAGTCTTCTATAATGATAGAGGCTGTTTTGAGAGGGAAGAGAGAACAACAAAAATACAGCCAAAATGCTATCAGACCTGCCAATCCAAACTACAGCCTTGTTCCAGTGCTTCATCAAAGTAGCACAACTGTCCCCTTCCAGTACTGATAAGTCATCTGACTCCTTGTACAGCACTGGAGCAACGGACTTTTCCTGGTCGAATAGGTGAAGAACAAGAATTAAGATAGCAAATAATTTCAATTTGTTGAACCAGGACATATTTAATTTTAGCCACAGCATTTGTATTGCTGTCCATCTTCTTATGCTGACTTCCATAAACATAAATAAAGCAGCGTTTCCTTCTCTTAATTTTGGCTCAACCTTTCATTTAAAAAAAAAAAAAAAAAAGCCTCCTTGCTTGAACACTGCAAGCTTCTACCATAAAAAAATAATATCCTATGGAAAAAAGAAGAGGTGGAAAATCCCTCAGTACATTCTGGAGCTTTTCCTTTCCCTGCCAATGACTGTTTTGAAAATATTCTGATGGACACCTGTTCTGATTGCTAGCATTTGTGTACTGATTTTGAGATGTGCTATCAACCATCCATCCATCCATCCATCCATTCATCCACATACACTGAAATCTGTAACTTAGGTCAAGCCAAACATTAAACTAGAGATTTATAAGTAGCTGCTTCAGAGCATTTTTCAGTGCTTAACCAATACTGATCTAAAAAAGTTCATAAAGAAGAGAGACTGAGTCTGAAACTCATAAGAAGACATGTTTTGCAGAGTGTCCTTTGAAGAAATCAGGCCTCCCAGTGTTTCCTTCTCTCTTCCACAACAAGAAGACAACACCCCCTAAGCTGAGCCAGGGCAACTGTCAAATAAGATCATACGAACATCCATACATGGAGAGTTTAGCAGTAGCCATGTGATGGATGTAAAAATGCTTCTGATGCATTTTTGAAGGCTAACACTTCAGCAGTATTTTCAACTGCCTCCTACAAATGACTAGGGCTTTTGGCAGCTATCCAGGGATCCCACAAGTATTTTGTGGCGGTGCAGGGCCTTCACTCCAGATATTTTGCACTGCTTTCGGGCATTTTAAAGAGAGCAATGAAACAGTAAGCTTTATTTCCAAAGGAACTCTCCTCCTCCTTGAGCTTTATGTAAACACCACAAGCCAGATGGAGCTGACAAAGAGCATTCAAGTCCAAGTACTGCAAGGCTGCTGTGCCGCACACTGTCGTCTGTGAAACGCCAAGTGAAAGAGGCTGTACTTGTGGTGCCAGCCACAGAGGATCACCCCTGCTGCTGAAAGCCCTGCCTCAATGGGAGTGGGGCTGCTGGCAGGTCTCACACCATCCAGGGCGCATCTGCCCCCATAACAATGACCTACTCACCGGCACTTCTAATATGCCTAGGCAAATAATTCTGATCCTGCTGGTCATCATCCTTGGTGTGTCCCTGAGCAAGAGGTAAAATGCTCTCAGTCATGATTTCCACTCTATGACTAATTTGAGCCATTTGTTCAGCGCTGGAAACCAATGAGTACACCATCTGCCGGTTTATTATTACTTTTATTTTTATTATTTTTTTCAACATCACTGACAGTAAAAATAGCATAAAAACACAGCAGGGCAGAAGGTTACTGGCACTTGATGTGACCATTAAATCACAAATAGCTTTGAATCTAATCATTAGTTCATAATGCTCTCCCCAGTACAGCATTCTTCAGGTCGATTGAAGAAGAACTGGTTATCAATAAACCCTAGGCTCATATCCTCTAAAATGTGTGATACACATATTTCACCTCCATGCATTCTTGCACAACTGTTCGGGTCAGAGACTAACATTCTGAGGAAAACCTGTCCACAACTCTTTTCATGGAGAAAAAGAAGCAATTTTTGGAGATCCTGTTCGCGTAAGTTAATAGATCCTAACTATTCTGCTCCTGGACTGCTGGACCCAGGCTCTTGCTTGAACTTTCAGCGAAGGGATCAAACTTCTTATTTCCTGGACTTGACCATCTTGATGTATGATCTCCAAAAATTTCAAAGACGAAAGCCTACAAGGCTCACAGGGCAAAATTTATAAAGCCCATATACCTGAGGGTTACAGGCCTCAGTGTGGGACACAAGGAAGCATCTAATGAGAGACTGTGAACAGCCCAGAGGCTCTGTGGAAATTAGGTGCTTAAGTTCTCTTTTTCAAGAGATATTGGGGCTTCTCAGTGATGATGAGGTTGCAGGGGTGCCTTGGCTTTCACATTTGGTTTCAGTTGATTTTACCAGGTGAAAAGGAGCCTGAAAAAATTAGTAAACCGAACCGGTTGTTGTTGGGTCCAAAGCTTTCTGTGGCTCAAGGCCCACAAATTCATAATCTGCATAACCAAATATACATTAGTGGGTATTTCATCAGATACTTGACAGGCCTCAGCAGATGATTCAGCTCCAAAAAGGCTCTCACAATTCAGCCTTCCAGGAAGCTATTAATGAGACACATCAGTAGTTTGCATTACCTGCAGAAACACTAACAAAATATAAGAGCATATGAAGGTCAGGACTCCACAGAAAGTGAGGCTTCCTGCACTAATTTTCTTTCAACTCTTCCAAAAATGATCCAATTCTGAGAAGGAACTACATCTAAAATGCCTGATAGCCATCCCTATAAATCAGGAACTGACAGCTGTTGCCTTGGTCAGACCTCTCCACTTCCTAAGCTTTCTACTGAAACACATGAACATGCCCATTGCTGGTCACAGAAACTGTAGAACTGTCCTGTTTTCAGCTGAGACAGAGTTAACTTTCTTCACAATAGCTAGTAAGAGGCTGCGTTTTGGATTTGTGCTAAGAAGAAAGCTGGTAACAGTGATACTTATAGTTGTTGTCAGGACAGTCAAGGACATTTCAGCCTCTCTGCTGCGCCAGTGTCTGCAGGTGCAGGAGAAGCTGGGAGGGAGCACAGCCCCAATTACTAGCCTAGGATTCGATCTTAGGTTTAGGATTGAGACATAAAGTGGACAATAGTCTATTCCATAACATGCACATCATGCCCAGTATATAGGTGAGAGCTCTCTGAAACTTGGCCCTTTTGCTCTAGATCTCTTTTCTGCTCTTGGTGATCTCGCTCCAGGTGGTTCCCTCTCCCAGAGTCATCTTGCTCCCACGGTCAGCTCTTGATCTGGGATGCTTGGGCTCTTATCTCTGTTCCGGGAGCGCAGTTTTGGGACTCTCCCTGCTCCGGGATCGTTAGCCAGGAGGGGGCTGAGCCTTGGTCATTGGGTAGTGAGCAGTATCACTGTGTATCACTCATTTGTATATTTGCATATATTATTATTGTGGTTTAGTTATTAAGTTGTTCTTATCTCAACCCACAAGTCTCTTTTCCCTTTACCCCTTTAACTCTCTTCCCCATCCCTGGGAGGGGGGAGTGTGAGAGAGTGGCTGTGTGGAGTTGGCTCCCAGTCAAGGGTAAACCCATCACAAGAATATGTTTTGGTTTGCTGCAAGGAGCAAAAGTGTAGCTTTTTTCTTTAAATGAAGTCAGAAACTTGTTAGGGCAGTGATACACTGACTGTGGGTGCATGGCCAGCAAGGCACCATTGAGTCCGTTTTCTCTTCCGTCCAGACTTGTGAAAAGAGGTGTTCTTTCAGGTCACATGAGCTAGCATAATTTGAAGCATCCCGTCACAGTTTTTCAAAGCATTAGCTAAACAAATTGGAAACTGCAAATGCCAACGTATCACGCAACTATCAGAACAGAAACTTAAATATCTTGATCATTTCCAAAAATCAAACTTTATTTTTTGTTTGTACAGGTCACCATCTGCCTTTTTTAACGCCAAGCTCTCATTTCTTACCCCTTTTTACATCTCAGGGATACCTAGCCACTCCAGACACCTGGACTTCAAATTACTTAACAAATGTGGGTATGCAGTTGCCCATGATACACTTCATTAAAATTAGGTGCCAGGATTTTAAGCTCATCTCTTTTGCTTAGCTCACAGAAAGCCCTCATCCATGCTAAGCAGGCAGTTCTTTATCCTGCAGCGAGCTCCAAGTTGTTTGAAAACAATGAATGCCAAGCTTTCAAAGAAAGCAAAACTCAACCACTTTGGCAAACGTAAGGTGGCAAAAAAGTTTTAGTTGGATTGACACATGCTTGCAGACACACACTGTTCATTTCTTTGAAAATATGTTTCTAACAGTGCCTGCTCTGCATACTAAATGTACTACATCTGCCTTTCTAGCACCGTGTCCCATTTCCTTGCCCTTCTTCACACTTCAGGGGAACCTAACCACTTCAAATACACGGCCTAAAATATGCAACATACTTAGGCATAGAAGGCTTTAAAATACGTGGATAATTTTTTCTCCTATCTTAGTTACATATTTGAAATTAAAAAGGAATGTATGAATTACTAACAAGAGTTAAATGGCACAAGCAAATCAGCATTCAGCAGAATGTAGGAGAGTAGCAAAGGGTTTACTGGGTCACTATGAATTTGATGATAAGTTGGTCTATCACAAACTTGTAGCCTGCATCACACTGCATTACTGTGTTGTTGCTAGCACTACTGTCAGTGTTAATTTAGTCCACTGTCCTTAAAGGAATTGCTAAGGTCAGTTTTAAGACACCATCTAATATGAACTTATCCACCAAGATGCAGAACTAAAGCCACATGCACACTAACGCAACATTGATGACGCTCCTCAGTGAGTGACATAGCACAGAGCTCATAGCCAAGACAACAGATGGCTCAGGTGGCTTTACACCCTGTTAGTGCCCTGCTCTGTGTTGGATCCCCTAAAAGATGAAGATGACACTAAATTACAGCTTCTCTGAAATTTTAGCAGTGAATGTTATGTCCTCATCAGATACATCACATCTCTTGTCCTGCTCTCCTTAGTGTCTCTCCTCTGCTTACTATCTGTGACAGCTCTTCTAGACAACTACGCAGAAAGGTTTTTCAGTACCCACTGTGATTCAGTTTTTTAATTAGACCAATTAAATAATTTTTCTATACCAGTCCTGCCTCATTCAGCCTATAGATTAGCTATATTTATAAAGCAAATAATTTCCTTTATTCTCTGCATTTTTATGTGAACAAAGCTGATGTTTACACTATTACCGATTCATTCATCATCACTACCAATTATTTCCTAATATTTAGGAACTGCAGATACGAACCAGAAAACTTTCTAAAAATCTAGACTGAAAAGACAACCCATGTTCCCTCTAAGGCTAAAGACAATGAACAGACAGATACGGAGGATAAGACAAACAGAAAACAAAGCTTGTCTATGCTGTAGATCAAAGGGGTAACATGGAAAACTGAAGAAGGGCTCTGCTGGAAACAGTGGAACTCACAATGATGCATTTCTGTATCTCTCTTTGCACCTCTTGGCCAATTCTGCATAGCTTAATCCAGTCCTATATCTTGCTATAAATGTCTGTCTGACTCTGTGACAATGTGCTATAAGAAAAATCTGTACACTGGAGACTGGGAAAAGGAATCTGAATTCAGTGCAGGGGTTTACCTGATAAGAAGTAAATAAATATGGAACATAAAAAAAAAAAAAAGAAAAAAAGGAAAAAAAACTTTTCTTCATGAACATCAGCCTTCCCAACCAATAAAGGCTTCATCCCTCAAGGTGCAAATTACCTAGGCTCTGCTCCATAGAATCATATAATCATTTATGTTGAAAAAGACCTTTAACATCACCAAGTCCAACTGTAAACCTAACACTGCCAAGTCCACTACTAAACCATAACCATAAGCACCACATCTCCACATCTTTTAAATTCCTCCAGGGATGGTGACGCAAACACTTCTCTGAGCAGCCTGTTCCAATGCTGGACAACCCTTTTGGTGAACAATTTTTTCCTAATATCCAGTTTAAACCTCCCCTGGCACATTCTTGAGGTAATGTTCTCTTGTCCTACCACTTGTTCCTTTAGAAAAGACACGGCCACCCGCCTCGCTACAACCTCCTTTCAGGTAGTTGTAGAGTGATAAGGTCTCCCATCAGCCTCCTTTTCTCCAGACTAAACAACCCCAGTTCCCTCAGCCACTCTTCATAGGACTTGAGGTCTCTAGACCCTTCACCAGCTTCGCTGCTCTTCTTCAGACATGCTCCAGCATCTCAATGTCTCTCTTGTAGTGAGGGGCCCAAAACTGAACACAGTATTTGATGTGCAGGCCCACCAGTGCCAAGTACCTGAAGACAATCGCTCCTCTAGTCCTGCTGGCCACTCACTTCCCTAGTCCTGCTGGCCACACTGTTTCTGATACAGGCCAGGCTGCTGTTGGCCTTCTTGGCCACCTGGTCACACTGCCCTCTCATACTCGGCTTATTCCCTTTCTCTTGATTTTAAATATTTGAATGATCACATCAGGATTACTCACATCCTTAGCTTCAAGCTGTGGACACAGAACTCAGAAATCCCATTTTCTTTATCACTGGACAAGTTAATCAACAGTGTAGCATTTCCTGGTTTCTGAATTCTTCAATTTGAAAACTGCCTGCACACATACTTTAAATGAAATTATGGGTTTCTGTCAGCTAATGGAAAGGCCACTCAAAGCAGGGTGTGATGGTATAAGACACTCACAGTTGTGGACACTACAGGCTGTTGGCAGATGGACAGACCAGCTACAAACATTGGCAGTGGAAAGGGTGAGCTGTGCAGAGCAGCTGAACCTCTGTCAGGCATGCCAGAGAAGGACACAATTCAAAGGAGAAGATACATGGAAGATAATAAAGATGTGTCCTTCTTTATCAGCCTTTTTATGCTGGATTTTGTATGGAAACACTGCCTACAGCACTGAGATTGAACCAGCAGTCTGAGTTGGGCTTGGCTGGAAGGGTACTTCTCTACAATACTTTAAAGCTTAGTACTGCAAACTGCAGTGGTGGGTACATGGCCTGGATCAGGAAAAAAATTAATTTTAGCCTGATTTGTCACCTTCACAATATGAGTAAGGTATGTATACAGCAAATAAGTAACACAGCTTTGGGAAGAAACTATATTCTAACAGGGATAAATAAGGCCTTGCCTTCTAGCTAGAATGATCTTTTGCCTCAAGTATTCCTTTTGCACGTAACTGTTGGCAACTCCATTTCCATTCCAGCCAGCTTTTCTCATTTTATTCTGTAGTCAGCACAGTGAAGGTGGAAAGAGGGAAATCATGAAACACACTGCCAAACCACTGAAAGGTGACTGTGAATCAATACACGACCTCTGCAGCTCAGCCACTGGTTGAGATTTGTAGTTGTGCCGATTACTCTTACTAGATTATATAGGCTTAATAAAAAAAAAAAAAAAAAAAAAAAAGGAAGATTTGAAATTAATACAACCACAATGAAAAAAAAACCAGGGGAGCAGCAGGCTTCTTTTACACTTCATAGAAGAAAAATCTTTTGATAAAAGAAAAAATAAACAGAGCTCATCTTGGATCTTGGTAAGAATATCTGCAAAGTCAAACGTGTAATGGTAAAAATTACATCATCCGTAATCTTTATACCAACTGTTTTTCTTCAAACAACAGTAACACAGAAATGCTATTTTGAGCAGAACTAGTCACTGTATTTGTTTTCCATTAGATATACAATCTAGAATGACTTCAACAGCTAGCCGGGCATAAACTTTCTTAAAACCTGTACCAGTTGCATCAGCCCTAATAAATCACTGCCTATTCTTGCTGCTCACAATATTTCAGTCTAGCTCCAGAGGAACAGACAATACTCTGAAAATCCTGACAGTAATTAACATAATTGTTACTGAAACTTGGACACAAACAAAGCAGAGAAATCCATGTTTACTCAGCATGTCCAACCTCAGGTGAATATTACATGCTTCTGAGCACATTACACTGATTTGATGAGTTTCAACTCTCAGTCATGATATAACACCTTTTCCCATTCTGTGAAAAGTCTGGCCTGTACCATATGCAGCACTGAAGAAAAAGGAAACACTGAAAATGCAGACTTGAAGACAACACTGAAAATGCAGACTTGAAGACATCACCTACTTTTTCTTACCTCTATTCCTTCCTTGTTTAAGGCATATTCGTCAAAGTTCAGAATAGCAGTCTTGATAGTCCGTGGAGGGGGCAACACAGTCAAGCCAATATTAATAGCATTGCTTCGTTTTGAGTCCAATACAATGATCTCCTGTCTCTTCCCATCTGCAGCAGTTTTCTTGGTAAAGAAGAGAACAAGAATATTATCCCTCCAGCGCGTTTTATAAAGAAAAAAGTCACTCCTTTCACTAATGACTTCCCCTATTCAAGGGTGCTGATGCTGAACGTAAATCTAATTCATTTATAGTAATCCAAAAAAGCTGAATTATTCTACCACATCCTTGCTGGTATCAGCATGAGCTGCCAGCATTTAACCAGAGAGCCGAATGCAACCTCAGATGCTGTGAAAAGCAGAGCTAACACTGCAGTTCAGGGCAGCAGTTGGTCTGAAAAAAGCCTGAAGCTGTCTGTGCTTGGCGAGAGCTCTGCCGTGCGGCAGGGCTGGCCGTTGCAGGGCTGGCGGGGCAGCAGCTGGGCAGCTGATGGGCTCCGGGGCTCAATTACCCGTTGATGCATCAACCCTGAGTGGCCACTGACCCTCTCCTGCTTGTGTGGCCATCTGGGAAACAGACTGCCGTTCCCATCTGCCCACCAGCATTCTCCTGTGTTACAAATCCACCTTAAGCACTGGCAAAGGAGCTGTAGAGGCCTTTCTAGAGACACTGGCATGGTTTTCTGACCTCTGGATGTCAGAGGAAGGGTATTCTACCTCGCTGCTCATCATACGTCCATCAAGCCCTTCATAGGTGCAGAACAACTTTTCTGCTTTTTTCAAAGTTTTATTTGAGACTAGACATAATATTTGTATCTTACCTCCAGTATATGCTACAGTATAAATAATAATGAAAGCACTAAGAACTAACAACATATGCTTTAAATTCCATTCTAGAGAAGACCCAAGAAATTTCTTTCTCTCTCTCCCCATCCTCAGAGTGACAAAATGCAAACTGACTAGGCAAAGTGACTCACAAACCACTTATATGGCATAATACAGTGTTGAACGTGGTTTTGGCTTTTACGTCCCGCACACCTCTCATTGTCTAACCGCCCCATGCTAGGTGTTTCTTCAACAACTATTTATATCATACACCAGGCAGCTGCAAGAGGAGAGGACTCCGCTCCTCGTACACAGGGCTTTTTTCTCTCTCTCCACAGACATGAACTTTGGAAACACGTTTTCTCTGTTTCCCTTTCCCTTGCCCTACCAGAGATGGGATGAGGTATGCTGTGAAGCACAGGAGCACAGGGAGAAGACTAGCACACTGATGCAAGCAAGCATAGACATGCTTCACTGTGTATAAACCCATGTTTCAGCAAGGCACAGGCTGCAGAGATGTAACTGTGACCTCCCAGGAGAGTCTGTTACCTAGACTGTGGTTAGTGGTTCTGGCAGCAGCAGGCTTAGCACAGATGCACCTCAAAGGGAAAAAGAGAGAGATCAAGCAATCCCTCTTTCAAGGCTGCAATGTGGCAGCCCACACAACTGTTCAGAACAGGGAATCATCTGTGTTGTCTACAGCAGTAGTGCCTCTTGCACCTCTTGTGGATTTGGGGGAAGCCCAGGAGGAGACTCTTACCACCCCAGTCTTGATCTGTGCTCAGGATTGCTTTTTAGACTATGAAGCTTTGCTCTCCACTTCCTTTGAGTCTGCACCACAGCCACCACCAAGTCAAAAAATGCCCTACTGCCAGGTCTATACGCTGATTCTGTGTTGGAAGAAGTGGGTCAGTCCATAATGGGAATACAGTTAGACGATTACAAAGATGCCCTTTTCTGGCATAGCTCAGTTCCTTGTCTGCACAGGAAGAGGTATGTCCACTGGTCCCAGCAGCCTGCCCAGCACATGTGCAGCACCACAGCACCTCCATCATACCAACAATGTAGTATGATACAACTGTGAAAGTAATGAGAGGGTTGGGGTTTTTTTTAAACTTAGAAATAACACTTTTGCAGTAAACAGGACAAAATTTTAGGAGAGCAAAGGCAACATTTGTTTTCAATTTTTATAAGTCTGTTCTGTCAGAACCTCTCTCATTTTAACACCTTAAAAGCATCCCTGAAGACTTCTTGAACTTTCCCTTCTTTGAGTAAGAGCGCCCTCTTTTTCTTGGGATGCTACCTGAAGGATCAGAGATGCAGCTTTTCCTTTAAAGCAGTTATTTTTACTTCCAGGGCCACTAATCACATTTTCAGGACCACAGTTAGTGGCCAAGACCACATAAAAACAAGCAGGGTTCACCAGAGACTGCGTCCTCTTGAGTCTGGATCCCACTAAGACTTTTTTAAACCACCACTTTTTACCTTGTCCCTTACAGCACAGAATTACACAGCCCCAAAGAATTTATGCAGAAGGGAAAAGGCTGGGGGAAAGGAGTTAAATTTAGACTTCCCACATGCGGTATGGGTAAGTAGGGCTCAGATCTGCATCTCTGTTTTTAGGTTCCTAAGTTTGACAAGAAAGACATATTCATTTGAGGGACATACGATGCTAACCGCTGGGATGATTGCAACAGTGCGCTTGCTCCTTTGCAATGAGTTATGAAAGACAGATGAGCTGTACAGGGAATGGAAGCAGGGAGGTATTTTCCAGAGCTATAACTGCATACAGGGTATGAAAATTTGGGGAAGTAACTCTCTTCAAAAGCAGAGGCAGAAGAGATTTAAAATCCATTCTGAGGACAATGGCTGAGTTACAAAAAAATCCTTTCCAAATGAATGAAAAGATGAAGAAAAGACAAAGATTGTACTACTATGAACTTTACTACCCTACTGCAAGGAAAATAATTCCTTTTTCTCTGCAATGAAATTGCGCATGTTTAAGTGACTGTTAAAATAAGCTAGAATTATTAATTTCTATTACAATATTAGGTGTCTTCAGACTGTGCTTTATAAGTTCACTAACAGAGAATGCCTCAACTGCCTGTGGGAACAGTGCACTGTTGTACTTGATTTTATATTTCAATGTGTCAGTATGTTACGTAAGCTCTGAATTTCTGAATATTATATTATTAAACGTAAATATAAAATTAGTTATAAAATACAAATATATCAGGTGGTATAATTTGTAGTAAACAAATGTTCCTGTAATGTATTAAAAATTGCAGTGAATTTAGATCTTTACAAGACCTAGCTGGCCAGATACTGTTGCCTCTATTGAAGGCTGGATTGTCCAGATAAGTTATTCAAAAACTGTTACCATCCCACACAAGGTGATTTGCAGTCTGATGAGCACAGAGCCTAAAACACGCCTCCTTGCTTTAATTAATACAAGAAGCAGAAATATTTGAAACAGTTTTCCAGTGGTCATATAAAGAAGTAACTATATATGAGCATCAAGTCAGAAATATCTCCTGCATCTAAACTTGCAGAACAATCTGCATCAGTAGCACAGAAAAAATGGGCAATCCCTTAATAGCGAGATGGTAGTTTTTTAATTTCTGTCTCAATTAGCAAAGATCAGCACTGGGGATTTAAAATGGAATCACTCAGCTGCAGCTGACTTTGTCTAGGATACATATATATATATATAATCTTTTTCAGAAATTCTGGTCCACATTTATCACTTGCCTTTGCATTTATTCAAATTGCAACAAATGTTTTCAAAAAGAGTATGGGCCTAGGCATGTATATACACATGCACATGAAAACATATTCCTTAATTTGTCACTCCAACTAGTTTTTATGTCTGTGGGCGTGGGATGGATCAATATGTCCTACAGGGTAGAGATGAATCAGCCAAATAATACTTTCAAATGACATGCAGAGCCAAGTGGATGGCAGAAGGGCTGAACAGCACCGCTTGATTCAGTAGTGTCTGCATGTTTTAATTTTTCTTCACAGAAGAACAAACACTTTGAAGTACTTTGCCAAAATACCTGCTTTGTTTGGTGGAGTGAGAAGGAAAGAACTTCTAGACCTGCTTGGAGAGGATACCTGATCACTCTCTTTCTATTCGCAAAGAGAATGCTGTGGTCTTCTATTCCAGAAAATAAATATTCTGCAACTAAAGGTGCTCCACGAAGTATAATCAATGTGCAAGTTGTCCAGTGTGGCATAAGTTTTCCTAAAATCAAGAATCTCCCCTCCCAGCCCCACCTCCCCAAACTCCCATATTATATCCTACAATTTAAAATCCACTTTATTTTATTGCAGTCTATTGTGTTTAATGAAAAACTTCTCATGAGCCAGGAAGTAGCTGTTTATAGCTGTGTGTTGTGGAAATCACAGTGAAGGATTAGAAACTGGAGTAAAATTGGTTACAGCTGTATGAGAGACCATAGGCACAAGATAGAGCCAAGCTCCCCCTACACACCCTGACTTTGCTTTTCCTCTCATCTTTCTGGACTGTTCCTTTTCCATGCACCTGCTTCCACCTACTGCTATGAAATCTGGAGATTTGACTTTTGATTTGTTGCTCTGCGCTCTTTTTTTCATCTGAACCAACTGAGCTGTGAGGCAGACTTTACAACATTATAGAATAAACCTGGTTTGGATTGCAGCCATTGGACAGGAGAAACTAGACACAACGGGGAATGTACTCCCTGGAACTAAACCAAGCAGTCTGGAAAAAGCGAGAGCTATCCTAATTTGAATGTAATCTTCGTACCAAACCTCAAGTCTTTTACAGATTCAGTGGTCTGCTTAATTATTCTCATCTCACTTGATCTAAGGACCACCTCCTACCCTGGAAGACTTGCTGGTATTCACCAAAAATGGCAGGAGTCTCAGAAGTCTAAGTATTCCACTATGGTACTCCTCAGTCACCACTGTCTTCTCTTCAGAGACAATGAGACTTCTATGTCTGTGTTATGGGATGATGTGGAAAGAGAGCCAAAAGTATAGCGTCTCACGCAGAGAACAGTTATTAGTCTCCAAGAGGAAAGTAGTCACCTAAATCATTCCTCAGACTTGCACTGATTTCAAAGAAACCTTCTCACTCATCTTCCAGCCAGAAGCCAAAAGCTGTGCCAAAGCATCAGGCAGGTTTGGGAAGCAAGTGTGAGGGAGGGAAAATGGCCAAAGGTAGTTTGGGAATGTGCAGGGTTAATGACTGGAAAAGTAAACAAGTCAGAATTCCAACAATTTAACGTTTTATCAAAATTTCAGGTGGGAATAAAAGATTAACAATCAGCCATTACATTACATAACAATATCCATTACAATACTGGCATTTAGCACAAAGCTGAAGTTTGGAAATGGCAGATATGTCATCATTCCACATTCAATTCAAGGAATTAACTGTTTTATGGATCTAAGAAAATGCTCTCATTCCTTCCATCTATGAACCATCTGTGACAGATTTGTATTTACAGGGAGAGAGATGAGGAGTAACACGCCACGACGTCACCAGCATTCCTTCCTCAGCAGAAAAGGAATTAGAGAGAGAAATTAATCTCAGCATTGACCAAATGAATGATCAGCTGAATGTGTTTTTAGAGCTGCCACACCATATGTTTCAGATCTACATGCATCTGTGTCACAAAAAAATTCAGCTAAGAACAGTGATTGCAGGATCTAGGCGAGCCATGTATTTATTTACCAGCTGTTTGCTCAGTAATTAATGAGGGGCTTGATTGTTCAAATTGCAGTGTTTCCACTTGGCCAAGAAGATCAAGAATGACTACTAGAAAATTCTGAGTTAATAACCCAGACAAGTGATATGGAAAACTTTTACCGTGAGACATCCAGTCTCCCCAGATTAAGAGCAAAAAATAATATACATGATACATAATATATATAACAACTTTTGCCAGCCAAAGAGAAGTAAAACATTCAAGGTATTGACTGTTTTTTATGTCACCATAAAACATATAGACATACACAGAAAACATAGAAGCAATTTTTTTTTTTTTAAGTAAGAGAGCGTCATCTTTTACTAGCATTTTAACTTGAAAAAAACATTGTTTCCCTGTTAGCAATTATTCTGCTTAGAAGAAAAAGAGTTTATGTAGCCATGAAAAACAAATGTTTGAGCTAATAACCTTTTTAATGCTACTTCAAATTCCTACTAAATTTAACTATAAAATACTTCCCCTTTGTTTTTGAGTCTAATGTTAAACAGCCATGTCACCAGCTTTTGTGAATTTATTTTATAACAATGCTCCTAAGAAAAGAGGGAATCCCAGCTACAGAGGTATTTCCTGTGCCAGCTTCTATCCTAAGATTTGGATAGCTACACTGTACAAGTTAAGGATTTAAAATAGGCCTGTTCACCAGTGTAAAACAAAAACGCAACAACCCTGCAGAGTTTAGCTGTAAACTTGGTGCAGCTGATAAATTGATCCTTCAGAACAAAGCACACATGTAGGCTTTTTGCCACAGATCCAGTTTGATATTCCAGCCTTTCTACATAACAATTAGGAAAATATTACCAAGTGAAGAACTGTCAAATACACAGATATGAGTCATCACGCTGTGACCTTCATACGAATGTAACAGAAAAGACTTCAGATTTCAATACCTAGTTCGTCACTCAGCTACGAACAACCTAATGTAAAATTTGCTGGTATTCCCCACCTGAAGTGATATCCCAAAACCGCCAGACCCGAGATAAGATGGCAGCTTGGCATGTACACCACCCTAGCCTCATCTCCTAGTTTCAGGTCATGGAATATCTTCCGTCATAGGCCAAGCATCACACATCCAGTAATTTCCACTGTTTTCACATAAACAACATAAATCACCTAGATCTAAGTCAGAATGAATACCAATGCAATAGCAAAATTATAGCAAGCTGAATATGAGCTGTACCTTTGTGACAGGCAGTTCCTTGGATTTAGACTCAAAGAGATGCTCCAGTTTGGAAGTGTCCACCTTAATGGGTTCCAGTTTCGACCACAGGAATTCTCTGCAGCGTTTGTTGTTTTTACACTGCCACTCAAACGGCCGTACCTCATTCCAAAACAGACGGATGGTTTTCTTCTTCTTTATAAATGCTGGCTGACCCCTAGAAACCTGGGGTGACCCTAAACCCTGAGGAGTGCTGAACAGTGGAGGAGGAGCCAATAAATTAGCGGAGGGTGGAGGTGGAGGTGGACATCCAAACAGTGGGGGAGGTGGTGGAGGAGGCAAACCAAGAAAAGAAGGTGGAGGTGGAGGAGGGGGAACAAGGGAGTCCCCAGGACCCATATCCATGTCCAACACATCTACATCATCCTCCTCCCCCAAGTCTGTAAAATCCATGTCTTTGATTTTAAGTTCCCTAGGATTAGCCATGAGCTGATCCCAGATGTAGTCAGATTCTGTCTTTGGCTGTGCTGGTGTTTTCTCGGGGACCTGTTCACTGATTTCATCTTCAGGCACAGCTGTCCCCTTGGCCAGCTCACCACTGTTAAATTTTTCCGCAAAGGCTTTCACACTGCCTTGGTTGTCCAGATTTCCGATCTCCATCTTTTTGACACTTTCATCTTTGGCCTGCTTTGTGGCCTGAAGTATAGAGATCCTACTGGCTAGGCTAGTGAGTGACTCCTCGCTTTCCTCCATCTCCTTCTTTTCCTCCTTCGCCTCCAGCTCCTTCTCCTCTTCATCCTTGGGCTTTTTGTTATGCGCATACAACATGTCCAGCATAAAACGCTTGTTGTTGAGGATGTTGCTGCACTGCTCATTCACACCAGCATCCTGAATGGTCTGTGACCATGGACCTGCAATCACACACACACAGATGGGAACAGTCAAGAAGAGGGAGCCAGAGCACCAAGAACACTCTTCAACCCACCAGAAAAAAAAAACAGTTGGGAGCACATGCACAACTACTCTGAAACTGGGCAAGCAGTAGCTTTGAAAATTTCGAAATAAGTGACAGTGCTGATGTACAGCCCAATCTTGATGGGCTGGAAGTATTTCTCAAAGAAGGAGCGGGAGCAGAAAATAATCAGTGTATCTCAGGGAGGACTACATAACTGTCAGGATATCAAGGTTCAGGTTTCTCCTGAAATCTGTCAGGTTTCACTTTGTACTTACTACCCCAACTCATTTTATACAGTGCACAAATGCTCAGAACCTTTAGTAATCCAGAATTGGGCTTAAATATCATGACAATGGCACAAATTAGGTCATACTTTTCACCTGGCCATAAACTGGAACAACTCCAGGAAAACTTCCTTATAAAAGCAAACTTCCTTGCCTGATGCCAAGGTCAACATGTAACTGCTTCATCCTTCTCCTCCTCCTTCCTACCTGCTGGCTAGGGGAGGACAGCTTTCACATCTGCCTGTTCTTCAGGCCCCCCGGCTGGTACCTAGCCCATCTTCACGACACAGACTATTTGAATACCAGAGCAGACTGCATGCCCTGGGTACAGCTCTCTGGGCAACTCAGTGAATATAAGCATAAGCAAGACTTTTAAAGTTATTCCTAGGAATATGAGCACCTTTATAAAAGATTTTTGAGAATGCTGCTCATCAAGCACTGTTACCCTCCCTGTAATATATGACGACATTGAAAGCCTAATGGCTTTCTTCCCACATCACAATCATTTAACATGTCACTGTAATGAAGCTTCATCTTTCTGACTACTGCTTTTCTCAATAATAATCTGCAAAACATCATGATTGAGATAGCACCATAAGTAACAACCTATGGCAGTCAAATTGTAAAAATGAATAATGCCAGCATCTCTTTGACTACATTTCCCTGAATATAATACTGCTAACCAATGTGGATAACGTGTCTAAAAATTAAGGCACTTTTTTTTCTAATGGGCATCAGATGAAGTGATTAAACATGGACAAAGATAATTCTTCACACTTACTGTATTTCCTGTATGGAAGTCCTTCTGTTCCCCACAGTCTTTATAAATTTTATTAGCATATTTTTTTATAAATTTTATTTCTTAAACACATTTTATTTGGATTGCTAGCCTACCTTCCTTTTGTCCCCTTGTGGTTAAAGGTTTTCTTTTATACCTGTCAGTTGCCTTTTCTCTTAAACTTCCATTTTATCTTGGTTTCTCCCCTTATGCTCCCACCTTTTTCAATACTTTAGAGTTTTAAACATCTTTTACATCTTCCTTCATCAATGGAGTTGCTTTCTTACCATGACAACTAGCCCTGTACTCTGAGAAGGCATCCCCTTGGTGAGATCCACATCCAGGGCCCAACAATTCCACCCCCCCACACCTTTAAAAGAATGTATTTAACAATACATTAAAACGTAGGATGGGCTTCACAGCACAAAGTGTATGGACAGCAATGACTCTCACCTTGATTCAGATCAACCTCTAAACCACATTTTAAAATGAGTCCAGAGCTTTGACCCCAGACAAAAGAAAGACTTTTTTTTCAGCAATGGATACAACCTCCAAAACTTCTTCCTTCTACTTTCCTGCAGGAGGCTTGACTGTTTCCATCAGCTGTTTATTTTTCTTGAGACTTTGTCCACAGGATTGCTTTCTCACCAAGACTCATCACCTGAGGTAATCTCAGATTTGTCTCTGAGGTACTTTCACTAGACAACATGACTAGACAGCTCCTTCCCCACACCACAGATTTTACCCAGAGCCCCCAGAGGACTTCCCCCTACTCCCAGCCTCTCCTTCAAAGATGTTCAAGATTGCTCCTCGGAACCCTCCTACAAATCCCACATGAACTACCTGCTCTCAGTTTCACTAGCTGGGATCCTCCAGGATTTAGTCCCCTTGCAAAACTGCTCATCAAAATTCCACCAGACATAATCTCTAATCTGGGCTCCTCAAGTCTGCCTCAATCTGCCCTAGCTGATCAAAGATTATTGCTGTGAAGACTCTTCCTACCTTGGTGGCCTCTTCTGCCCTCCTCTCCACAGGTAAAGCTTTGAAACACCATTGGGGAAGCAAGAATTGTTTTTTTTGGATGGCTAATAAAAGAAGAGCCAGGACCAAAGTCTTTATTCCTTTGTCCTTAATGCACCTGGGCAGGACCAATGGGTGACCTCATAAATGGCAAACCACTTGTTGGGAATGTGAGAACTGCTGGATAAAGTGCTCTCGTTTGCCTTCTGAATCTCCTCACCTACTAGAGAGCAAACAACTCACTACATGAGTTGTCCTACACAGCACACCCTAATAAATCTTTGGTCTACTGGTAATGTAGGTCAATTTTAAGATCTTGATTTTTCGATAACAGGGTACCTTTCTTAGCTTTTATCAAAAAGTACATAAGCACTTTAAAACTAGAGCGGTAATAGGCTGGTAACAGTCAAGGTGAGGGAAAAAAACCTGTAACCTGTTCTCCCTTACTTGTACTTGGACTATCTTGGACTATGTCACAATGTAATGACATCCTTTACCTGTCATACCTCCCCTCTCTTTCCTACATATATAACCATCTACATTCTTTAAGAGTACAATAGCATTCTAAGTAACTCAGTCTTGGTGCTGGTTGAAAAGAAGATAGCTCTTAAATTTAGAATAAAATTAACTTAATGCTTGACAGAAAAAAAAAAGTGTGAGGGTTTAAACATGAACAATATCATCTGACAGTTTATCTCTGCAAGTTAATCCTTGTGATTTAGAGTTACCCCTCTTCTTTCAAGAAAGACCAAGGCTATTTCACACTGTGAAGCAATTCTTGTTTTCTTGTGTAGAATTTAGAATACTTTGGAGAATGCAATCCACTGTTCAGCCCTAGAAAAACTTAGGAACGAAATGCCCTAATTACATTACATCCCTTTACCTCCTTATAAAAAAGGGGAAAAGAGTAATTAACAAAGGTCAAAATCTGCCTTTTACTCCCTCCCTGCCTGGGCTGCGTGATAAGCTCTGGTTGTCATTATCTCTCCAGGCAGAAAAATGTTTCTTAAGGTGTTTTCCAGGCTGGCCCTTTACAGCTGTCTGGTGGCATATCTGACCAGAACCACTGGTCACTACAGAACTAGTCTTTTCCAGACAAGGTCTATTTCATGTGCCTCTTCCACATGAACAAAAGATGGCCACAGCCCAGACCTATCTTCCATAGCTCCTGTGTGTCACTCTGCTTTCTGAAGCCTAACCAAGACAGGAGAAATGGAGGGAAGGAAAAACTTCCCAGCCCTCTTTGCTCTTTCTCTTCCACTAGAAGGATGAGAAAAGGTATCTGAAATCTCACGAGAAATCATGTGAGCATGGCCCCTTGTCTCACTGTTTTATGTGTAGAAAATTCAGATAAATTCCCTGGAAGCTAGAGGTGCAAGTCGCTGCAACATGGTGATTCAATAGTTAATACATTAATCTTAGTGGAAGAAAATGGTCTCGAATCAAAGGAAACCTCATTTCATCAAGGCCTTACTGTCCCTCAAATACAGAAACCGATCAAAGTCTGTGGATTTCCAAGCAGAGGGTAGACCAGACTTGGCCGTGGTAAGAAAGTCTGAGATAGGACCAAAGGGTTTGTTAGCTAATTAACACAAAAACAGAGCTGCTAATTTAACATTTTTTCCACCAGAAACCCTTCATTATTGAAAAAGCTTCACTTTACCAGTTTCATTGTCACTGGTTAACTTGTCCTCTCTCTCTTCCCTCTCTAAAGTGCTGCTTGCTGAGGATATGCTGGATGCAGAGCAGTTGTCTTTTTCATTCACTTCCTCATTCTGCCTCTCTTTTTCACTGAGTATTGCACTTTCTTCTGGCTCTCTCTCTGGTCCTTGCTCCACCTCACTCTTTGGTCCCACCTCTGTAGCCTCTATTTCCTTGGGTGTCTCCGTTCCCTGCTCGGCCTCAGCCTCAGCCTCCTGCTCTGGTTCTGGTTCTGTCTCTGTCTCTGGTTCAGGTTCACTGGCACTCACTGGTGGAGAGAACAATGGGAGAAAGAGATTCACTTAACAATGGAGTCATCTCAGGCTCACCCCTCTAAACGAGAGTGATGAGAAAGTTGTACGAGTGCCTTACAGAAAGAAAATAAAAAGCAAGTCCACAGCATGCTGAACATTAGGAGCAACAGACTGATGAATGTTGTGCGACGACAGTGTTGCACGTGAGAGTGGCCTGCAAATCCCCTCGCTTGCTGTCTGGAGCCAACCCACTGTTTTTATACATACTTCCACAGCTGGAGTGTTGAACTCACATAAGGATTTGCACCAGCAGAAAACGGGCATCCCACTTGCACGTGACATTGACAACTTAGTGCCTAGAAAGAGCCACGAAAGAAGAGATCTTTTAAAAAACAAAGAGGAGGGAAATTGTGGCTTTTGGCTGAATTTTCTTTGGGTTCTGGAAGAATTCTTTTTTCACCTGAAGAGGAACACTTCAACGAAAAAATGCAAATATTAGTTTTATTAACACAGTTGAATGGCACAGTCTGGAAGTAGCACTGTCACACATTTGGCTAATGAAAAACATTATTTTAATGTACATTTATTTCAGAATAGCCACATGAAAACTGAACAGAGTTTCCAACTGCTTGGCATATGGCACAAATTTAGTTTCCATGCATGGAAACTATGTATATGGCATACAATGAGCTTTTTTATCAGCTGGCACACAGCAAACACTGTTGATTTCTTCTTCCCTGCTTTATCACTGACTGCAAAGTTCGTTCATTCACCTTTAGGTCTTTTAGCTGTAACAGCACATTTTTCACATGCAAATATTCTCTGCATGCTTCAAAGAAACTGAAGAGCATCCACACATATTCACATCAAGCAGCTCACAATTTTCTGAAAACTGAAATGGCCATGCAAGAGTGATGAAAACGGGCATGCATGTTAGTTCTGCATTCTCTCCAAACTCCCCCCCTACTCTATCTTGCAGGGTGGCTGAACTACAATGACCAAGTCATACTTGTTTTTTCCCCTCTGTTAACTACTTTTCATTACAATATTGCAAAAGAGCCTTCTGGACTTGTCATGGTTTTTGGACTGCATGATATACGACGAGACTTTCTTCAATAACTACACGAATCTTTGAAGGAAAATTAGTATCACACTGGAATACAAGCCAAACATTTCAGTCCTCTAGGAAGCAGGCAAATGGATTTATCCTGAGAAAGTATAAGCCAAAATAATGAAGGTCACAATGTTTTCCTAAGACTGTTTCATGTTGTGTGCCTATCCTATTTTCTGAGACACCCATATAAAGAATAATGATTTCTAACAATGATTGTGCCTATCTTTACAATAACAAATGTGCTTTTAAACTAGCTTTCAGTAATGCATCTTCAGTACCACACTATTCCACTCAATTTAATATAATTTAAGCGTATAAAGCTGCAAATCGTTTTTTGCCACTAATTTAATTATAACTAAGCTTCTATGCTTCCATAATTGATTTTAAATGTGTAGTTAGTTACATAACTAGACATGCATATATAATGCATATATAAAAAAGAAATGTAATATGTTTAATAGATAGTCCATGCACACTCAAACCCCTCTAAGATGTTTTAAAACACTCTCAACTAGAAGCTTACCTTTCTCCCTCTTCTACATCGCGCGCATTTAAAAGTCTAAACTCAGAGCAGCTCTGCGCATGCCTCGTCTCTCTAAATATATCTTACCTATGGCTGTACCCTGGGCACTGCCTCAGAAAAAATCAAAATTTTAGACAGCTTGCAAGAACAAGTTGGCAGACACTGTATCCCAGTGGTGTGTTTCTGACCACAGCTGTCAGTGTGTAGGTATAGCACAAGAACATTTTAAAGTCAAGCCAAGATTTGAATATAATTGAGATGCAAGCTTAGGAATCCTTCAGGAGATCCTGGAACTAACATGGCACTGTAGCAAGAAAGACTGAGCTTGCCATGCTGCAATGGTCTGTATACACAAATGGCATCAATGCATCCTTGAATAATCATAGTTTTGCATGAATGTTAGATGTTGCTCTCTAAAAACAAAAGCTGTCATGCAACAACCAAAAAGGTTAACTCCAACAGCTCAGGTGGAGAAAGAAGCTGACTAAAGCATGGCCATGACTGCTAATGCTAATGCTAATGCTTTGTTGTCATGAAGCTACGCTGAAGATTCAATAGGATAAAGTCAAGGGAGACATAAGAAATGGTTGAGAAAACGAGAACGTTCAAAAGAATTCTGGATTCTATTCACACCAGAAATATTCCACACATACCAGAAAGATGCAGCATCTTACCAGAATCTAATATACAACAAGGAATAAGCACCAAGATACTGACACAGGCTGCTCTTTTGAGTTCAAGGAGTATCAAAAACTTAAGCACTTCTAGAAAAAAACAGGGATATGTTGACACTCATTTTGACAGTCTTTCTCTCTTTTGGGATCAGGTCATACAAACCAACCATAACCCAAATAACTTGCAAATAATGAGCTAAGTCCAGTGGTGACTCCCTTAAAAAGCAGTTCAAAAATGAGATCTGTCAGGAAACACTAGCAGGAGAACAAAGCCAGCAAGCTAGATGTGTGCCCATCATTTGCCATTCCATTGTGTAATCCATTAGGCTGATATTAGTGAGAACTTTTAACAATGTCAAAAAATACAATTCTCAGTGAATGCTTGGTGGTGGTCTGTTTGAAATGAGCTGGAACTTTCAGTCCTGTATCTACTGGATCAATTTTCACACCAGAAAAAACACTACTCTAAGTGGCAATCTTGCAGGCAGCAACAGAGTTAAATAACAGACCAGACTCTGTTCCCTGTCTTCAGACTGCTGCTGGTGGAGAGTGCAAAGACTCAGGGAAGCAAAGCAAGGTCATATCAAAATGCATCACCAGCAAATAAGGTATTCCTGAGACATTAAGAATGTGATGCCAGTATAAACAACTTTTTTTTTTTTTTTTTTTTAAACCCAGTTCTTACACATATACAGTTCTTAAAACCTACAGTGAGACTGTCAGATTCAGGTAGTCTCTTTTCACTTGCATATGCTATTTTTCACACTTCTCTCAAGGCTTTACTGCCCCCCACCCTTTAAAACAAAAGAGTGAATTGAGGTCTTTAAATGAGCAGAAGTTTTACTTGCAATTGGATTACTCAAGAGTATTTTAAGGACTAATTTTGAGTCATATGCCCACTTCTTTTTCTGCCAGAACTTAATATCTAAAAATGTATTATTGGAAAAAAATGCACAGAGTTCTTGGAAGAATGAAATCTCCCAAAGAAGCTGTGTACCCTCATCGCTAAAAGAGACAGTAGAAAGGTCCTTCAATGAATGTGTAAAGATTTTGTCATTTTGAGAGATGGTTTCGTCTTCTGAAATATTCAGAACTTGGCCACGTAAAGCCCTAGCAACCTGGATCTGCTATGATCTGACCAGATGTTGGCGATGGCCCTCTTTTGAGTGAGAAGTTAGACAGGACAGCAAGATGCTCCCTGATGGAAAAACATGACTATGAACTTGTAATGTTATAGAGGGACATGGAGGGAAACAACTTCTCTTTCAGTATTCAACTATAAAACTCTGAAGCAGACATAAAATGTCATATCTTTAGTACCTGCTGGTAAGACGTCAACCCCCCCAGTCCTAAAAGTCCTCAAAGAGAACAATCATCCCTCCCGGTCCACATCTAATCCCCTGCCAGAGTAACAGATCAGGCAACCACACCTTCATCTATTTTCCCCACTCTCTACCTGAAGCTGTGACATACAAACATTAAGTGTCTCTTGAGGATGCACACAGTAAGTCTGAAGCCAGCTACACCCACCCAGGCCCTCTTGGTTCAATGTTTGGGCATTAATTAAAGTCTTGGTTGTTATCTCCCTTCAGTTTCCCCAGCACAGGATTCCTCTTTCTGTGATCTTTCCCTCTTTCTCTGCCTCCACACCAATCTTTTTTTCCCATTCCTTGTGATAGTAAAAACTACTAGCACAGAGTAATCACCAGCAGGGAACTTGTTCTTCCTTCATCAAGTCAGAAATGATCTTTCTTTGTCCCTCACCCCAGTTCCTCCTCTGACTTTCTATGCCATGCTTCCTTTGGCTCTACAACTGGGGCTGCAATGGCCTCGCTGCGCCCTCAAGCTCTGGTACTTCTCCATCTGCTGAGGTGCTTTCACCAGTCATACTTTAGGCAGTATTTGAACCTTTCTCAGCTACTAATATGTTCAGGAGGTTTCCTACTGTCCACGATGTGCACTTGGGTTGGCCTGCTTACTTCCTCAAGTGCTAAAAAAGCTCAGAGGAGGGTTCATCTCCAACTCCATTGTGGACTGACTTCAGAGATGTCTTGGTTATTGTTGCTCTCCTTTACTGCACATGTGCACGTCATAAAATATTCTCCACTGAAATTAAAAAAGAGGAAGTAGCTGCTCTGAAAAAAAAGATTATGTTCCTTTTTGCAGCTATGGGACTGCCTTCATTTCCTCTGAATGCCATACCCCAAGTTTTACAAGAGTAACTCTTACAAGACTTGATTACTTCAGTGGAACAAATTGTTTTATACGAGAAAACACTTCAGCTCAGGAAGTCCAGATTTTTGTATTGGGTAAAGATACTGAGACGTTTCACAGCATGGGACAAAGGTCCACAGACAAATTCCATTTCCTTCTTAAGCCCAGTAGATATTGTTCGTCCAGAGGATACTTCAGCACTAATGGCATAAAATACATCTGACTCCAGAAGTCACTTATTGCTTTGCTAGTAGAGCAACACACTTTTCATCTGACTTCAGGTTCTGAATTCTGCAGATGAACATCACACACCCGTTAACGCTCTCCTTGCAGAGTCTTTTGAGGGTCCCATGCACAGAACCAGGGAAGTATTTTCCTTCTGCAGTTTTGTCCTTGCTTGAGAAGACGGTGACCCCTGTGTTCAAAGCAACTGCTTGGGGTGCAAGTAATCTGGGTTCTGTCTTATGGCTCTATTTCAGCTTTCCTACAACTGGCTTAAGTAAGTTAATACCTCAGTTTCTCTGTCTATTAAGTGGAACTCTTAACATTTCCCAAGTAAAAGTTGAGATTTTAATTCATTATGGAGCATAAGGAACTAAGATAATAGTCTAGAGGCCATGGCACAAAATCTATAAATGTCTGCCAGCTGTTGAGTGACATCCAATAATGTGGCCATCTCCAGATGAGAGACCATGCTCGGCCCACATGCTCATTACTTCATGTGACCTTTCCAATGCCTTTGGGAGGCCTGAAACAGCAATCCTTCCTCACGCACAGCTCCCACTGAAGTACACAGATTTCAGACCCCTGTTCTGGTGCAGTCCTGGCCATCTGCCTGCAGCTGCCCTTGGCTGGAGGCTTACCCTGCCCCATCCATATGTTCTCTCCTTGCAGTCCATTTGCCAGGCTTCCACGTGCTGTCCTCTGATACCTACTGATATTTCCAGGAGTTTACTTAGTAGAGATGTCCTGCCTACCCACATGTTGATAGCTTTGCCATATTCTGGCTGCCTTAAGTTGCCCTGTACACCTGCTCTAAATGTATTCTCCAAACGGATTGTATTGCTTCGTTTCATGCCACAATTTTTTTTGAATGCTTCCAGGAGAAATGTGTTTAAATAATCACCATAAAAGAGATACTTGCTCCCTACCCAGCTCTGAAATCCTAATGGTGGAAAATCACAGCTTATTTGCTCTAAAAGCAATATTGCACTAAAAGAAAAAAAAAAAAAAAAGTATCTGGATGCTTCTGAATATTAGTGTTACAGGAAAATATCCATGTTTTTTAAATTCAAATGATTCCACTGAGACTTTTAAGGTGCCAGACAAGAAAACTGGGAATATAATTGGAAAAAGATAAAAACCTAAATTAAAAAAACTTAATCTACTTAGTATGGTGGGAATAAACATAAGCAACACTCAGTATTTGTAACTTTTTTCTTGCTTTATAGCATGCTACCAGCCATAACACTCAATAAAACCAAGCAGTGCAAGTTACAAATGCATTAATCACCAATAGCATTTAGCAGGAAATCAAAGAAAATAAAAATGAATGATGGTGATAATTCACCCTCAACATGCATTCTAGCTCCTAATGTTAATGCAATATCATGTGGTGCAAATATAAATCTGTACAGTGGGTGTTTTTCTGAGGACTGAAAGAGGGGTAAATTATGCAAGTGGCACAATGACGTGCACACACAAAAAATATTGCTCTGTATACCAATAAATTATATAACAGCAAACCAACCATGCAAACACTAATTATACTTTGCTTTTTTACTAATTGCCTGTGGTCTCTTTTAAGTCCTCTACTACTTGTGCTACAATTTTAAGAGTTTTTGTTGGTGTTAAAAATAACCAACCCACCCTCCCTGCCTTCAATTCAAGACCTTTTCTGTTTGTCCCATTCAGTCTGCGCTCAGCTGGAAGGTTATTATAATCTTGGCATTCATCTGTTGCATTTCTTTCAGAGAATCCACATAAGCAAAATCTGTTGGCAGGAATATTGTTGGTTTAGTATTCAGTAACTTCTAATATACAAGAAACATGATGCTAAAATTAAGACCCTCTGTATCCTGTATTTTCCAATTATTCCATTCTAATAGCAACAGACAATGACAATATAAATCATAGCAACAATTAGCAGCATATTCTTTGCTTGAATAGACTAGAAGACATCCAAATCTATGGAAAAAAAGAAAAAATTTAGGAAGACAGCATGAAACAATGTGATAAGACCCTTTACTTTGGCACCTCAGAGGTTATCTTCTTGCACTCATGCATCAAAAATCACTGCTAGCCTGAGAGAAACTGTGATAAAACCACCGCTCTTTCCCCTGCCCTCCTTTCCACTTACCTTCTGAGGGCTGAGGGGTCCCACAAGGGGTGGAAGGGGTCTTCAGCTCTTCCTGGGACTCAGTGGATGCTGAGCTGATGCACTTGGGTACAGGTGAGGATGGGGATGAAGGAGATCTCAGGTTCAAGGACAGCTCACTTCTGCCTCGGCTTACACTTCGACTCTTCAGCTCCTTCTCATACTCCTCTGCTGCCAACCTCTCCAAGTATTTGTATCTGAAAGTTAAATTCCAGAGGGTTTCCGTAAAGAAAAAGAAGTCTGTGGCTGATGCTTGTTTATGGATGAAACACCTGCAGAGAATGAGCTGACTTCCTGACACAAGGGGTACAGCACTAAACTCCCTGCTTGGTCAATCTGCCAAAAAAACGCACACTAAAGCAAAGACTATTGCCCTGAAAAATGTTAAATTGCTCATCACAAAAAAAAGCAAATCCCAGCAGAGTTAAAGAGTCCTTAGATATAGTATTGTGTCTGCATAGTCCTTCTCCTTTTGGAAGCATTTGTCTGTCCTCCTTTTCACCGTCCTCCTTCACCTCCTCCTCCTCCCAGCCCTCCCTCTCCCAAAACTAAAACGGCACGGAAAAAAAAAAAAAAAAAAAAAAAAGAAAAAAAACCCCTCCAAAGCCAGAGCCCCTTAATACAGATACAAATAGCCAAAGTCTGAGACTTGCTGCAAGGAGGGGAAAATGGTTCAGTGCAGCAGACAAAAACAGATCTCCCTGAAAATAAAATTAATAATAAATGTTTGTATTGACTATCTGAAGTCTCTGAACCTGCTTCTATTTGCTCTGAGAGCAATGCACTGGAATTTACTTTGTTCTCTCCAGAGTCTACAATGGAAAGTTTTTTTTTTTTAATTCTAAAAAATTTCTCTGCCGGACTCAGACATCCAATAGCTTGGACCTGACGTCACATGTAGTTTATTCATCAAAGTCACTTTAAAAGAACAAAGATACATCTGTTTTGCATTTTAGGCAGGCAGAACTCGCTAACTGTTTATTAAGACCAGCTACCAATCATATTCCTCATAGTGTGCTTTATACATTTCGACCAAAATAACTTTGAAATATGTGCCTCTTCCAGATGTCTGCTAATTTTATCCACCATTATTTGCTAAGGAATAAATTTATGAATACAGTTGGATCAGTCTTTAGGCTGTCTTACCCACAAGTGAACTGTTAAAAAGGTTAATCAAGATTACTACTTATGTCCCCAAAACACTGTGGTCATCCTCCTATAAACCACTGTTGTAAACAGTTCGTAACAGGGAACACCTCTCCTCCCCCCTTCTGCTTCACTGACAGCCTGAATTAGTGTACAAGGGTGCATTAAAAGCAGGCAGGGTAAAAAAGTCAGCCATATGTGGCAACAAACATGCTTAGTACATATGGCAGCCACACACGCATGCACATTTGCAAACATCCATATAGAGCATAGAAATGTGTCTTTGAAGAGAAGTCCTTGTGTTTTCGGAGGCAATTTGCTTTATTGCAAACAGCAATAATGAAGAACAAACTCATTTTCTTTTATTCCTCCAGAGGTATGCGCAGGCTTTGAACAAATTCTGCAAGAAAAAGAACCCCTGCGGACTCTGGATGAAAATATACCAAGCCACATACTTGTATGCTTATAAAATAGGAACTGTTTACAGTTCTAACATGAAGCCAGTTCTCGAGAATGATTTTTGCCTTTTCAATAGAGAAAGCCTTTTTCTGGCATTAGCATAATGTTTTGTTACAGTTCGTGAAGCCAGTCTTCTTTTAACTTCGGTTGCTTACGTATTGTGCCTTCCGCCTCCCTGCAAGTAGAGCAGATGGGACTCCAGACTCATAAAGAGCCATTCAAATTGATCACTTAGCTCAAACAGGTACAGCCCAGCTGGCTGCTGCTGAGGAGGGTTTTGCAGATTGCCAACAGACTACAACAAAGATCTGTATGGATCATTCCATAATGGAGGGGAGCTACAATAGCTGTGCACTGCACAGCCAAGCAGCAAAGCACAGGACTGTCATCAAGACGTGCCTTCTCAAAATATATCTGTCCATTATATGGAAAGAAAAAAGGGAAACAGAACAGCAACTCTCATGACAGCACATCGACATAACTAGTTATCAAATGGGATGCCTAATAAGCAGATACAGCAGTTTAATTGAGAAACAAAAATAATTCAAAAATACGTTACTAACACTTCACACTTAATAGATTACATTTATTCGGGTTATTTTTTGTTTCTGCTCAGTGTCTTCACAGTGAATGAATGCCAGCATCAAAAACAAAAGGTCTCATGAAGATGAAAATCTGGAGTTGAAAGCATGAGCTACCATTCCTCTGCTGCAACTAGTTCCTCCACTACAGGACTGACACATTGCTTTGGTATACATGGCCATATTCCTTTAAATCATGGAAACTTGCAGCCATCATCATGCCTATGATAACTCTTCTCTATAGACCAAGAGCCAAAAAATTGTGGGCTATCCATTTGGTATGCCTCACGAACCTTACATTCCACTTATCAACTTCAAGTAGATAAAAATATCATTGTGAATTCTCTAGGTCTCTGAGCAATGCCCTGAGGGTGACTTAAAATGTTACGTACCAGCAAAGCCACCGGGTGTAGAGCATTTCAGCTGTAAATTACCCTGGAAAGGGCTTGTGAGCTCACCTTTGTTGGGTTACTTTTGAACTACCACTGGAAAATACTCAACCGAGCAAAGTGAAAAAGGCCTCAAATCATTGATCACCAAGAACACATGAAACGAATGGTGCTGAGTTACACTCAGATCCCTTGAAACTAGAAGAATATTTCTCCTTTACACTGAGGCTACCCCAGAGCCACTGAAAAAGTGGGTGCCTGTATTCTGGAGCTCAAGGGTGACACAATAGCACATAGAACTCTCCAAAGATTTGGCAGAATTTAGACAAAACAGTGCTTTTAACAGAGCCTTTCAAATGTGCTCACTACTATTGCCCCCTACTTTTCCAAACTGCTATGGAGGAAATGTACAATCCAGATTTTAACTAGGATTTTAGCACCTTGGGCATAGTATTTTGTTATAATCCTTGCATTCTGTTAAAACAAGTCAACATTCAACTTCTTACAGGAAACAAAACTTAATTCGTGCAAAGGTGTTTGTTAAAAAAAAAGTTACAGAAGGCCAACGTAATGGACTACTGATGTGAGACTCGCAGAAGTGTTCTCCAATATTTATGTGCTGTCAAAGCAAACATATGTCTTTCCTCTTTATAAGGAAGAACTGACAATTTAACATTTCAATTCAAAAAAGCCTAAGGATAAAGACACATTCCTAATGACCAGTGAAATTGTCTCAGTTGCACAGCAGTGATGCGCTGCTGGTGAACACCTCCCCAAAATACTCTAGTTATACTTGGTGTGTTCCCTTACAACTTGAAAGTGCTGGAGAGCTCACTTCTAATTTGTTTCAAATCTTGCTGACGAGCATGCTTGTTGTAAAAGGTTTTACTCAGCTAAGAACCATGTCCAATGCTTATATTCTCAGACACATTTCATTTCAGAAAATGCTTTAATGCCAGGTTGGACGGGGCCCTGGGCAACCTGATCTAGTAAATGTGTATGTTTGGTGGCCCTGCCAGGCAGGGGGGTTGGAACTACATGATCCTTGAGGTCCCTTCCAACCCGGGTCATTCTATGATTCTATGATTCTATGATTCTATTTGCAATTGTTTTGGCTGGAAGGACAAAGGAAATCCCATCTACCTTTTCTTACTCTTAGAGATGTCAAAATAATTTTTTAATATTAGCTACTTCAGTGACAACAGATCAGACTTCAGTCTGCAGAAATGAACTGCCTCCTGTATGAGGATTTTGTGAAAAAAAAACACAAAAAAACCCCAAACCCAAACAAAACCAAACCCAAAACCAAAATGCAGCAACACAATGATTTCTGAGAAGGCTGCTCTCATACTTGGATAATGTAATTCCAATTCCTGATAATCCAAAAGTATCTCCAGAGAGTAATCTCTGGAGGATCATAAAAGCAGAACTGAAGCAATCAGGACAATTTTTCATCTACTGTTTGTTCAGTAACATGCACACTTTCCAGGTAAAAACAAGAGCTCCCTCCAGGGTATAATTACTATAGGAGGTAGAGATGAAGCTACTGAAAGGCAAAGGTCTTTAATTGAGTATTCCTTGAAAAATGTGCTTTCATAAGCACATAGCTCCCAGCCTAGCCCAGAATTTCTAAACTACTTAATTTAATTTAAAAAAAGGAAGAAAACACCAAAACCTCAGTCCCTTTAAATACGCTATTGAAATAAAACTGCAACAATTCCGCAATGATAAACACTGCTAAGCTTTGTAATTTACTTGCTGATGTTTAGAGACATCAGCAAAGAAAACTTGGCCCTGAAAGATGAAAATACGCTGGGAGTGGGTCACAATAATTTCCATCAGCCTGCAACTGCAGTTTTGCAATGCTTGTGACCCCAATTTCCTTTATCCTCAGCTGCCTTTTCTGACCCTCCAGAAAGCTCCAGGACCCACTGGGTGAGAAAGACAGGCTTATTCAATTTGCAACTATACTAAATTTGGGCAAATTTCTGAGGCAAATGGAGTGAGCTTATTTCCCACACAACTAGATAAAAGATAGATCATCAATCATTCTTATGCATTCCAGTCCCACTGCTCTTCATTTACTGCAGTGCTTACAGCTGGACTTCATTCTCCTCTTTAATGAAACAACCACTTTCCTATAGAAGTCTTTTGGAATAAAAGTGTTCTGTGTGTGCAGAGTTAAAAATGTAAATACAAACAGTAAAGAATACAGGAAAAGCAAGCAACCATAGGGAAGGATGGATGCATTATATACAAACCTCTCTTCTCTTGCTTGTCTTAGTTCTTCTCTTTTGTCTAAATAATCGCGGCTAAAAAGAGAATGGCAGTAAATTGCAGAGGAAACTGGAATAAGGTAAGTAACAGAAATATAAGCACAGCAGGAGAAACCAAGAGCAGAAGAAACAAGCTGATCAGAGACAATGAAGGCTGTTGTCGACAACATTTATTAGTTTGGTTTTGTAAAAAAGGCTGAAAAGTATGTGTGTACACTTATCTATGCATATACCACGTCTATGTGTGCACCAAATATGTAGTTTGGAAGGTCATTACAAGTAATTATAAACCCCAAAAGTTAAGAACTTAAAGGACATTTTCAAACCTGGTATCTGAAATCAGATACAATGAACTGGACTCATCCATAAGGAGCAGGCACATTAGTGGCTATTAAACCATTCCTCATTCGCTCCATTTAGGATGCCCTGAAACAGTGACTGCAGCACTGACAGGCTAGACCAAGGCAGGGAGCACACTGTACTGGCCCTCTTTCTAATATACCTTTCCTCAGTGTATTTTAGCTGCCACGGTTGGAAATGGGACAGTGGACTTGCATTACCAAGTAGGACAATTCGTTCTTACAAGGTACGTGCAGGATCATCAGACAGGTAACAACAATTCTTTTCCCCCAATTTTAGATACAAACCTCCTTCTATCTCAGCTGCCCCTCCCACAGCTCCTCAAAGTAACTCGTGTTTTTAGCTCTTGCCAAGTCAACTTTGCTGGATGCCTGGGCACTGTGACTTCAGGCAGGTCCGTCACATCCATAAACATGGCTGCAAATTTAACTCGGGGCACAGCAGAACATCCAGCCTGCCTCAATAACCTAGCAAGATAGTTCTTTACAATATATTTTTAATATTTTGTTGAATCTGGTGGACAAAATTTATGAGACTTTCACCTTATCTGTCAGATTCTTCTACAGTGTAAGCTGTGAGTACCAAAAAGATTTTCAGAACTACTTTATTTATGAACAAAACATTATTTTTTCTCTTTATGTTGTGTCATCAAATGAATCTATTTATCTATTACACCAATAACTATTAAACACCTGCTATCAAGTGTTCTTCAAAAGTCCATTATCATGGAACATACATTACTGTTTCAGGCTATCTCCACATCCTTTGAATCTCCAAACTGGTTATACTTTTATTGCATTTTCAGAGTATTCTTTGGAATTGCAATAGCTATGGGAATAGCTCCAAGGGAAAAAAAAAATCTAGGAATTTTTCAGCAGGCAAATTTTAACTCTTTCCCCTCTGACAACTTTCACAGCTACAGCTGAAGAATAACCCTTGTATTTTTGGACATACTGTTCTATATATCCAATGGGTACAATAGTCCTTCTACTGAGAAAAACATTCATTTTGTAATATTGGTAGCACTCCTCCTGCTACCAATAGCTTATGAAGCTTTCTAACACCTCTCATAAAACCAAGCTCTTTCACAACTGGTGATGCTCCCCTTAAATTATCCTCATTTTGTCAATAATGGTGCCAGAACCTAGTGCAATGTTCTTGAGGCAGAGTTGGAAAGAATGAGATAACAAATGAGTCATGATGGTAAATCCAGTACTGCTCACGAGTTTAAAGGTTGTGAATTGCAAGTGCTATTTTTAATCAAAAATATATCTTCAGAGACTGGGTTTCTAGCCAGACTGATGATACAATAATGTAATCCCAAGAACTCTTATGAAACTGTCCATAATTGTTTGCTGTGGCTTTGTCCTCCTCCTGCCAGACTGTTTAATCAACTCTGGGACGCTGTCTGTCTGTGAAGTTTGGTGGCTTTGGAGACCCTCTACTCAAACACAAGTTATAACTTTTGGGTGACCAGGGAATTCAAATCTAGAAGATGAAAACACTAGGCACTGAAAAATCATTGTCTTAAATATGCAACATAGTCATGATATTTGGTTAACCAGTTTCTGACTCTGGAGTAATGGGATGAAGATGTGTATTTTAAAAAATTTGCCTTTCTGACTTTAAGGAAGTTCTTTTAGTGACAGAACAACTGCTGTAGCCAACCCCTAGTTAAATGTGCAGATCTGTTATTCAAACAGGTCAAGCTGCCAAATGTCCTAATGGCTTTTCTGGTCTGGGAGTTTCCTTTCTGAAAGACCATGTTGGCTGTCCATGGCAGCCTGCTGCAGCCTGATGACACCACTTGGAGAGTTTTTGGAAGAGGCCTGAAGACTGAGACCTGATTGTTTCTGTTTCAGGACAACTGGGGCAGCTGTTGGCTGCCAAAGATCCTATTATGGTGCTCTTCCACCTTCCCTCTGCCTCTCATTTGCTTCTGAACCAGCTGTCTTCTGGAGCCAGGAGAATATCTCCTTCAACCGACCAACCAACCAAGCACTACTAAGTTACTCCTCTTTCCAAATTCACTATGACACAGACCATTTTGACTTCTTACTAAAGAGACGATTACGGTGAAAATGATCCTGCACACTAATATACAAGTTCACATGAATCCCAGTGCCATGTTTTCAAAAAATATCAACTCTAAGGCTACAAAACATTTATAATACCATTCTTTAAATTACTACATTATGTCTTCTAACTACTAAAAATATGCTTACTTTTCAATCCTGTTTATAGGGAAACAGATTGGTTTCTTAGTGTATGCTCTTCATACAGTAGACAAACCACTTCAGGTATAGGCACCTTATCTATCCTAAGCCCACTGCAGTCTTTGATAATGCCTGTGCTGGGATTTCTGGGCATGGATTTAACAGGAGTAGAGGACTTGCCTCTTACTATTCTCAGGCAGCACACCCTGAGATCCCACAGCATACCACATAGTCTCAGATGTGAAAATGGAAAGTCCTATATTCAGCTGGGGCCTTTGCCTGGTCACAATTCGAGTAATAATTTTGATAATTATTTTCTGTCAGTTGCTGTTTCCAGGAGGAAGAGACACATGTTCAGAAAAGCAGGAAGAACCGCAGCTTAGAAACGCTACCATTCACCCCAAGACCTGCAAACACTTTTACTTTGCAGAACACAAAAGCAAAAAGATGTCTCAGTGCTGTTTCTTCCTCCCTTCGTGGTACCTTCGTCCCACTGTTTCATCTTCAAATCCTATGCTTCACTGAGATTATACTTTGAGAAGGAGTATATTAGCTAATAAAACCTGGCCTCTGCAGATGTCCAGTCAGTATAATTGGCAAATACATAGCTGTCTTGAAAAAAATTGCTGGTTTATTAAATGCCAACATTCATCATGATGTGTTTAATAGATCAGTTCTTAAGATACTGAGATCAAGAAAGGTATGTAAGGAGACACACGAACTATTCATCAACAATTCAATTATTTTGCAATTGAATGTCTCAATGATTTACAGACCCATCACACATTAAAGCAACAGACCGAGAAGAAATTTAGTTCCTACTTGAATTTGTTTCTTTCTTCACGTTCTATCCTTTGCAACCTTTCTTCTCTCTCCTGACGTCGTCTTTCTCGTTCTGCTGCCAAGGACTCCTGGTGCTGCCGAAAAGATGATGTAAGGAGACCACCCAAAGCTGGCCTGCAGAAAAGGAAGATCAGATTTCTCAGTGTCACTTTTATTGATTATGCTGGCAAAAAATGAGTAGCAATCATGCACTAAGTAACATAATCCCAAACAACAGAATGACATGGCAATATTTATGTACAGATGCTTCAAAGCACCGGCTAAGTATCTTGCCAAATTGATTTTAGATACTGTGATGAACTTAAGAATGACAGATAGGGTAGGTTCTTAAATTGCCAAATTTCTGAAGCACAAATAAAGTACATGTGAGAATTCTTCAGTCTATTCCAACTGCAATATTGTCTAAATAATTTTTTTTTTACTGTATAATCCTGCTAACTCAAAAGCTGAATCCTATAATGGATTTTGGAAATTTTAAAGAAAAACAAAGCTTGAATATTTTTTCAGCATTCTCCAAACATGTTATGCAATGATGTTAGCAGATGTGTTACAAACACCTGAGAATCCTGTATACAGAAAAACTTAAGTAAAAGAAGATGTGAGAACTGCCCTTCAGAATTTGAATGTTCTCTTAAGTAGGGGCATGTTTTTCCTTTATACATTAACAAATGCTGTTATAATGATTTCCTCGCTGCACATTTTGCAAGAGCAAAATGAATCACATATGGGAACATATCAATAAAATACACAGGGACAGCACAGCTAGTTATAATAATAATTAAGTGGCATCAAAATTGCTATTAAAAAAAAACAACAGAGGAAATGGAGCTGAAGGGGAACAGATTACCCATTTTCCTTTCCTTGCCCAGGGCAGGATTTAGTCTTTTCAAACCATTCTTGAAAACTGTTTGTTTGACTTGCCTTAAAAATTCTTAATGATGGACATACCATACTTAACTACATCTGTCAGCAAGAAAGGCTTCTCTGCTGTCTAGCCTATTTTATTTTTTCCAATTAGACCCATTCATTCTTGTTCTGTCCACAGTAAAAAAAAAGAACAAAAAACTACCACCTGCTTTATGGCTGAGCAAGAATTGGTCTGAAAGGGGACTTTCTCTGCAGCCCTCTGACCATGACTATGAACTGGATGCTCCATGGTAGTTTACTATAATGAAGAAGGCTCAATGTTACCACGAGCAATGTATATCAAACTTTTAGTTGTTGTTCAGGAGGCTGTTAAAACATACGAAGTAAGATGGTAAATGCACAGTCAAAAAAGTGTGAATTTTCATCAGAAATGGCAGTCTCTATAGTAAGGACTTCTGAAATACAGAAATTATTTTTTCTCTGAGACGAAATAGCTTCAAGTAGCAAATACACTTAAAGAAGCTACATCTATATACACTTATAGTTTGGCCTTGACATAGAGTTTTTATCTTTTTTTTTTCACTGCAAGTACTACTCTGGCTGGGACAGCGGTTCCTCTCGCACATCTTTCCCGCAGAATGGTGGCACTGGTACCACCAACCTCTCACATCACAACAAAGTGACATCAGAGTAAACATATCTTTCTTTCTGTCTCTTCAACAGGAAAAATCTGTACTGTATAGCTTTATACAGAAGTAAATGTATCCATACTGATTGAATTAGAATGATAAAATCAAAACGACATAATTCACTGTAGAGTGGCTTCTGTGCATTGTTGAAACATGAGTTTTGCAATGAAAGGATTAACAAAAGAAATAGATACTACCCTTTCTAAAAATAAACTAAAGCAAACTTGAATAAATTTCCATTATTTTTAAGAACTCAGACCCTTCCCCTTATTTATTTACATGCCTATGGCTGCACAATGTAGGCATTTAGTGTAACAGCACCAGTTCACCAGTGAAAATAGGTGCAGGAGAAGACAAAAACATTAATGCAAACGTATCTTCCCCGAATGTCTATGTCTGTGCAAGCCGAATGCCACAAAACATAGCAATTTCAGCCCCACAGTATGAATATAATTTCAATAATTTTAATAAATTGAATTTCAATATGTCATATCCCACCCGCATAAACATTACATAAGATGGTATAAAACTTGATATTCTGTAAGCCTCCCTACTGGCAATCCTCCAGAGCTACAGTATCAATGCTGGATCACACTCAAAACCATAAAAATCTCTAATATGCCTTAGTGCTAAGAAAAGGGAAAAAAAATCCTCAAATCCTGACAGTTAAGTATGTGTGGTGAATTTTCTCTTTAACATATTTTAAATTTATTTTAACCTTTGACCTTTTAGTGCATGTTGCAAGAGAAAGCTCTCAGCAGAAACAGTAGCGCTGCTGTACTAAGATTCAAAAGCTAGAGCCCCATCCCTGTAGTAGCATGAAAAAACATGGCAACGAAGTTGGATATATCATCAGAAATTGCTCTCAGAAGGGGAAAACTGGAGAGTACTTCCAAATGAAGACACTTGGAAATAAACTAGAAGAGATGGCAAAAAGAGTCCCTATCAAGTCTGTGCTTGTACCTGTTCTGTGTATTTAGCTTGCTATTCCATCCCATCCAGCTGCCCTGAAGTCTGCAAACTCCATTTGGAGTCAAAGGAAGTTATGACTTAACAAAACCTGAAGGAAAATTAAGGGGAAGGATGGGGTGATGCTGAGAGACCAAAAGAGCAATTGTAGGTCTGCACAGCATCGAGCAGGTTGGAAACCTTCAGCTCTAAGCTCTTTGGGTCTCCATAGTAAATACACATTCTTATCCAAGGGATTACAAGGGAATCACATGGAGATGTGCAGCTTAGTCCTGCAGACGGGATTCTAACCTGACCCTGGTAGTAAAATGTCTCCACCTGCCAAAACACTTTGTTTGGAGGCTTGATCTAGCACAGTTTGGCTAGTGTTGCTCACTCGGCTAAAATTTGCAGATGTATGAACAGCAGCCTCACAATCTAAATAAAAGATTGACAGCCATATAGTCAAGAAAAAAGCTCATGTCCAAGAAACTACTGAAGATCCATGTGCCATATTAGTTTGCTACCTCTTGGAAAGTAATGAAATCAATAATAACTAGCCAAAACTTGGTATTTCCCACTAGTTATTTCAACTGAGTTACAAGCTACAGTACAATGTGCACACACACATACGTGAGTCAATTCATTTGTCCCAAACACAGTCAGTTCTGGACTGACATACTGTATACAACAGTTTATTGAATGAAATGGTCAAAAGTAACAGTCAAAGCTGTGAGAAGGCTTTGTTGAAACAGGTTATAATTAAACAGACAGGAACATGGCCAGCTGACTCCTTGTGTGGCACTGACTTCTTAAAAAAGCAAATAGGTTTTGGGTTTTCAATCACATTTAGAAAACAACAGGCAATGAAACATCACTGACAGTACTGAGTTAGTGCTCGCTTAGTGGTTAGATCCTGCACTGTCCAGCCCACTCAACCAGACACATCTTTCCTCTGTGAAGACCACAACTCACACCAAATGCTGAGATCATTTGCCTTATGAAACCTCATAAACTCACAGTTTCCCTATTGCTATCAAACACTATAACTGGGCTGGTATTCAGGTGCATCAATTCTCTTTTTAATGTGAACTGCAACTGTAAATTAACAGATTTTAGTGTCTCATAAACTCTACCCTTAATTTTCTACATGTGCATAAACTAAAACTGGAGGAAACAGGTAATACTTTCAGGGTGCACCAACATGTACAACAGCCAGAAAGAAAGACAAGTGGTAAGAGGTATTCATCAAGTATTCTAAACAATTTGAAAAGGGATTTGTCTATGTTTGGTTTGTCTGTAAAATTTGGGGTTTTTTTGTCTCTGTATCCCCCGGGCAATAAGGCTTAAACTAAATGTTCCCTTTCGCTGAACTCATACTTGAATTGCAAATGGCAGCAGGACTGGCCAAACCAGCTGGTGGGAAGGCTTGGGCTAAGCCTTCAGGTAATTTTGGTGCTTTGATGCTCCTTGAAGGGTGACATTACCTTCGGGCCTCAGGAATATTTAAGTCTTACTGCTGTAGGCTGCATTTTAAAAATGGGTAAGCAAGGAAAAGGCTAAAAAAATAAATCTGGCACTAAATCAAAGATGGTAAGAGATTTTAACAGAAGAGAGTATGTGAATACTCAAGGAAAGCATAATAGAGTGATCACTCACAAAATGAGGTTATAGCTAATATATGCCAGCATTTAATGTTGGTGTCATATGTTACCAACTGGTAAAATCAACCATTGTTCAATTCTAGAAATACAATCCAGAAGGATGCTTACTCTGACTACTAATTTTAGTCTTGTAGAGAACACAAGGCTATTAACAATGGACTGTTAATATAAAAATATTAAGAAAAGCTTCTTTCTGCCTGTTGTTAAAACCAGAAAAAGCTAAACAAGCTATGTTATTATACTCTCATTCCAGAAAGTAAACACACATCAAGAATAGCTCTAAGTCTTGGGATTTGTGAATATAGCTCCACACCATGGCATTAGGACTGGGGGACAAAGAGGTCATTAGTTACTTACCTTGCTGGAAGATAGGAATGAGCAAAGAATAGGAAAAAAATGACAGAAAAAAAGGCAACAAAAATATACACAGGGCAGAGGACACAAAGCCAAAACACTGATTGTAGGTCAAAACTCTTCTGAATAAAAATTCAGCTAACCTAACCTACTACATTTAACATAGCTGTGCCTTAGTAATCACTATTAAAAACACAAGCTCAAGGAAACACATGATATCTCATACTTTTTTGCAACTACTTGCACATTTCTAACAATACTCCATCACAGGCCATATATTGTGAAAAGGAATTTGTGACCTGAATTACTATAATCTTGCTGAAAATTCAAGACAATATTTCTGTCTTACTCTAAGCCACTTTGTTACAGAAAAATTGCAATTATCAACTTCAAGACAATATTTCTGTCTTACTCTAAGCCACTTTGTTACAGAAAAATTGCAATTATCAACTTCAAATGCTCTTAATTCACGTCAGTTCTGAAACACTCTTGTGGCTGCGTTTTCCTCTGTTGATTTTTTGCTAAATGTAAATGGATATCTGTAGCAAGAATGCAAAATACAAATGTATATTTTTAGAAGCTAGAAAAAATT